TCAAAGCCACAGGGTGGCAGCTGTGGACACCTCTTCCTTAACATGAAGGATGGCTCTCTCCTGCTTTGTGAAGCAGTGGGATGGTTCCTTCATATAATTTACAAGTTGAAAGGCAGGCACTTGCCTTTTTTTGGGTGTGCGTGCAATACTAGAATTTGAACTCAGGTGACCTTCTGCTTAAGTCATGCTTTGGTTATTTTGGAGACAGGGTCTTGCTTTATATCCAGGCCAGCCTGGACTTTGATCCTATTTTATGCTTCCCACCTTCACTGGGATGGGGGCACAGGACACCACGCCCAGCTTTTTTTTCTGTTGAGATGGCACCTCACGTGAGCTACTGGCACCAGCATCCTTCCTCACTTTTTATGACACATAGTTTCAACTTACCACTTAGAGAGTGCCTGGAGGTCTTCACCCTTCATGGATGCCACATTTAGAGATGATTGTTTTAAAATGTAAGAGCGCGTCTCAGATGTTCAGCTCACGGCCTCGGCCTGACCTGTGACCGCAGCAGTGTACAGCTGAGGCACACTAAAAAGCCACATGAAAGCTTTGACATCAGCGCAAGCGTTATCCCGCACCATCCACCAGAGCCAAATGTTCTGTGCAACTGATGCTAAGCCAGCTTGGTTTCCATAAAAATAGATCTTTGCTTATCACGTCTCGCCTATCCTCCCTAGAATTCAAACAAACTAAGAAAGCTACACCCGCAAAGCCACGGAGGCTTTCGGCATAGACCCGTGCTACGCATGAGCCAGTTTGATACCTGAGCAGAGCTGGTTATGAAAGTCACAGAAAACTTTCATCTTTTTCTTGTACTACCCAAAGGTTTTCCTTTTTTTAAAGGAAAACATCAATTTGCCCATCCAGTGTAAAAATAACAGCCCACTGAACTACTCCTTCCTCAGGGGTACAAACTCCAACACAGCCCTAACGCTTTAATGACTGTAACTATAGTTAGCTGCTAAGAGTGAAGAAAAAGAAAACATTCAGTCTACACTGCAGGGTTTGTGACAAGGGCTCCGCGTGGAGCGAGGGGCAGGCCACAGCACGCACAGGGTCTTAGTTCAATTCCCAGCACTGTAAAAAGCAAGCTTTCCCTTACACTCCTTCTCAAAGGTCCCTTCCTTTTGCTGATAAATATCTTTAAATTTTCCAGAACAATTGAGGGCATAACCAGTGTTCGATAACGATTCGTGACTAGAAAAAAATAATCATGTAACTGCACACCCACGTGTATTACAGCTTTGTTGACAACAGCCAAGCTATGGGGTCAGCCTCCATGTCCAACGACATAAAGAAGATGTAGGGTATATGCACAATGGAGTATTACTCAGTCATAAAGAAGAGTGAAATCGTGGTGTTTGCAGGAAATGGATGGAATCAGGATCATGTTACATACAGTAAGCCAGACTCATAAAGATGAGTGTTACATGCACTCTCTTTGAAAGATGAAAGTGGGAGCTATTAGGAATGTGGAAGGAAAAAAGGATAACAGAGGTGTGAACGTGATCAAAGTCCCTTCATATGCATGTGTGGAAACCTAGCAAACCCCATTTCTTTATAAACTAATATTGCTAACAAAACTTTTGAAGTATAAAAATAAAAAAATCAAACGAGGTTTCACATAAAAAGAAGTAATTACAGGTGCTGGTAGCAGCACCTGTAATCCCAGCTACTCAGGAGTGGAGGTAAGAGGATTGCAGTCTAAGGCCAGCTGGGGCAAAAGCTCAAAACCTTATCTACAAAAACTAAAGACAGAGGGCCAGTGGCATGGCTCAGCTGGTAGAGGGCTTACAGGCACAGGCTCCAAGTTCAAATCCCAGTACTGCCAAAAAAAGAAAATCCCACCCAATACTAACCATATGGCAGACGTCCTTTTGACTCAACTACCCTGGCTCTCTACACAGCCCTCTTCAAAGTGGGGCGACAAGGCCACTCACTGAAATACACAAGACCCATCCTAGAATATACATGGACTCAAAAAAAACACCCTCTCGTTCCTGCTTTTCTGTATGCAATATATTCACCTGCGAGTAACTGCTCTCTGATCACATCTAACCAGGTCACTGGTAAGTGGGCTAGTGTCAGAGAAATGAGAAAGCATCAAAAAGCCTCTGTGGGTGAGGTTCCAAGCCTCGGGATCTGTGCAGCAGTCTTGGACACTGTAACCAGCTACCTGCTCCACTCCGGCTATCTGCTCTACTCCGGTACCTCAAAAGCACCAGGAGCCTAAAACCAAGCCTCTCACTGTGGATGGGGTGCTGAGGAAGAGAAAAGACCCTCGGGATTTCCTAGATACTACAGAATCACATTTGTCCTCAGCAGAGTCCCAGCTTTCGGGAATTCTGTAGCATGGCATTGTATAACTCATCTAAGGATTGCCCACTTTCACAAACAGCAACCTTGAGCACGTGGGCCCCATGCTGACTTCCTCTCACTTGGCTACAGCCGTGTGCAACAGCAGTTAGTTAGCACTAGTAATTTCCAAGTTCACATCTTTACTTTGGTCTTGTTCAACCAAGAATTTTTCTTGGAACAAAATATTAAGCACCAAATATTTATCCTTTGCTACTAACTTTAGTAGCTCAAGAACTTTGAATGACAACTGTTATGTATGCACGCATTGTGAAATAAATGTTTTATGCTTTTACATGTTCATGTAAAAATTTTTTTTTGCGGGGTGGGAGATGGAACTGGGGTTTGAACTCAGGGCCTTGCACTTGCTAGCCAGGTGCTCTGCCACTTGAGCCACACCCTCAGCCCTGGATGTCAAATACTTAATTTGCAAGTATCTTTTGGCATGAATCCGCTGTACAAACAAGTCCCTTAACCACTGATATGTATACCATTTTCAGTATTTTAGGAAACTAGTATGAAGTGTTTAGCACACATTATTTAACTAGAAACAAATTTTTATTGTTAAAAGTCAGGAAAAAATTTTATGTACGAAGTGGAGTTGTTTGCCATTTCTCTTACAGGCAATTCTACAAAAAGACTATATGAGGTCCACAGCTCTGAATGACATTTAAATTCCGCTTCTGAAGTTCACGGGAGTGTCCTTATATGCAGCTTAGTTTCCTAGTCTACAAAACTAAGAAACATTGCCTATCCAAAAGATTATCCAAAGATTAAACAAAACAGCACGTGGAAATACTTGTCATAGACTGTAGTCAATATATTATGGCATTGTAGCATATATAGGTCAGAAAATAAAACACAAACCCAAGGTGTCTGTTGTTTATATTAAAGCAAATTTCCATAGCATATTGGACTAAACCATAGTAAATCTGCACCGAAGTACTTGGTTTTAAAAAGCAAGGATGGAATGTTAACAATGGCTGCCTGTGTCTGGCTATAAAATACATTAATTACATTAGCATTCATGATTTAAAAACTGGAGAATTCTCCTCACATAACTTGACTTCTATGATAAAGTGGGGAAAAAAACCCTTGTCCCTTCCTCTTTTCTTTCCAGAGCTGACCAGCTTTGCCCACAGCATGGGGTGGTGTACAGGGGGCCTGCTCAGTCCTCCCTGAGCCAGCGCACTTCAGTCTGTCTAACATCAGAGGGCAGCTCTTGCCGGAGGCAGGGAAGGTAGGCTGATCTCTAAACCCTCTCTGCATGGTTCCTTGCTTCAATGTCTCTGGCCTCTCTTCTTCTTGTACAGCACATCTGGGACAGGTTTCCTTTTAGGTAAAAGGGGAAGAAAATGTACATTAAACTTGTCAGTCGTTTCTGTAGACCTCAGCACAAGTATTTTGTCCGTTTTTCAATGTATTTGTTGACAATCAGATTCCAGAAGGAAGACTTAAATTTAATAATAGATATTTAAGAAAAAGGAACCAATTTGGAAAACTTACCAGCAAGTTATTAAAACAAGGATTTTGTTTTTCACAGTGAATGTACAATGTTATATGGTTGGCCATTATTTCCTCTCAAGGCAAAAGTAAAATGAGAAATACAGCGGATAAATCATTATAAATTCAGTAGCTTATACACACGCTCAGGAGACACAAGTTGGAAACAGTGCAATTGAATAAACCAGTTGTAAAAGCCATTTTCAACAGAAAAAAATGTGCAAATATGAGCCACAGTGTTGGGAGTAATACTGGAGCTTCTTTTTAAAAGGCCTTATCTGTTAAAGATACAAACTGCAGTGTTAAAAGTGAAACAGCCATGTGAGATATGCTTTAAAATATTCTAGTTTAAAAACCGTAACGCTCTGGGACTGTGGTAGATAGGTATAAATATAAAAGACCAGAGTATTAATACCCCTGTTGACCTGTAAGAAACGAAGTGAGGGAATTTCACGTCTCTGTGTAAAGGGCACTTAGTGTGATGTGCCACAGACCTTCAGGGTGTTTAGGTAATGTAATGCCGACTTGTGAGCATGGTGACAGAAGGGTGCAAGGGCGACAGGTGGGAGAGCTGGAAGGAATGTGCTGGAAGTACAGATCTCCTACGACTCAGGGAAGCAGAGCAGGGCATGGCTCTATGTTAGAGCTGATGGATCACCAACACAGAATTGAGACAACTTCTAACGAAAAGATCCTTCTTTGCCAGGCTTGAGCTCACCATGGACTTCTCTCCTGCTGGATTTACCTCCTGCTTTGTTTCTGTGACACACATATCACCAGTACCATGAGAACCTCAATATGCACAGTGCTCACATTCAGTGTAGTTCTAATCCATAAAAATAAAGCATTTTTACGCACAAGACATTTTCATGGCTTTAGAAGAAGTCCAAGCAAATTAAACTACTCTGATAAACACGCACCTGAAGCTGAAGGATCACACATGTACTGTTGTGGTCAACCTGATATTCCAGCCACATAAAAAAGGCATTCTATTTCTTTATTTTTTTATTTGACAAGCAGCAATATCATGTTTGTCATTTTAATGTAGATACAATTATTAGGTTATCTGTCATATTACAATATTTAAGTTTTTATTTTATGTCCTTTAAGATACATTAAAAAAAAAAAAAACCACATCAACTGCAAACGTGAGGGGGAGAAAAAGCATGGTACCCAGCCAAATTCCACATTTCAGTAACACTTCACTCATTCTTTAAAGTTTTAAGAAATGTCATAATGACATGAGCTTGAAATATCTCTAGGCATTTTCTTTGACGCTCACGACATGGCACTGGTGATGTTGTAAACAGCAGAAAAACAGGGGCTGCCAAATGATCAAATTATGGAGGCACAGGCCTGCTTTTTCCCACAGGAGCACACCAATGGTGATGGCAACGATCTTCTCACATCACACTGGAGGAGTGGCTTCACGCGACGTAACTGTATTCATCTGCGGACGCTTGGCTGCGCTCAATGTACTGTTTGTCTATCAGAACTTCAATACATTTCTTAATCATGCTGATACTGGGATTAAACCTAGCTCTTGATTGGCTAATCACCTGTGTAAGAGAGACATGGGAGTCAAACTACCAGCAAATTAGTCTGCAGTGAACAATTACTTCCAGCCAATCAGCTGAGAAGTGCCTCAAATTTCTTGAAATTTCAACAAATGCACCTATTCCAATAAGAGAAAGGTATTTAAAACAAGTATGAGGTTTGGGGAAATGGTTCAAGTGGCAGAGTGTCTGTCTGGCAAGCATTAGGTTCTGGGTTAAAACCCTGGCATACCCCCTCCACACACACACACAAAGAGAAAAACCAAGTATGAAATTACATTAAACTACTGAATAAAAATCATCCAAAATAGATCTGATACAGCAAAGTGAGTGAAAGCCATAAATACTGATTTTTTAAAACACAGCAAAGCAGTGCATAGGTAAGGAAAGAATGATTGGATCAATTTTGACATCAGGGCTCAAATCAACTTTTTTCTGTGCAAAGTAAGGAAAATCTAATGCTTATGCTGTGAAGGAAATAAATGCAGAACACGGACATGCTGTTTATACATGTACTTCTACATGCACTCTCAAGGTACTGGAGCCTTTCTTTCAGCGCATGTGAACATGGCTGAGTTTAGTTGCACTTTGTTTCAGTAATGCATTTCCTCCCTCTTGCTGAGCACTGCACAGGAGCTGCCATATCACGAGTGTTCTGTACTCCATCCCCAGTGGCCAGCTCAGCATCCATCAGGTGGCAGACACTCAGACACTCATGTGTACATGAGATCAAGGCATGTTTGACATGGCCAACGTCCTTCAATAACTGCATACTGTAAGTAAAGATCTCTAGATTCAAGCCACACAAATCTTACTTTAATCTTCTCAAGAGTGAGTACTATTCTCATCAAGTAAGGGAACATTTCTTATTTTGGATGGATCTGGGGTTTGAACTCAGGGCTTCTCACTTGCAAAGCAGGAGCTCTATTCTTGAGCCACACCTCCAGTCCATTTTGCTCTGGTTATTTTGGAGATGAGGTCTCTTAACTATTGCCTGGGCAGGTCTCAACTCCTATGAAGCTAGGATTACAGGTGTGAGCTACCAGCACCCAGTATGGAATATTTCTTTACTCTATTTGGGGATCATATTATTTCTGTATCACCTTTAAGAAGAAACAGATAATCTGTACATTAGTAGTACTCTCCACCTGGGAAGTACTGAGGATGTTCTCCTTTTTACCTCTTGAATAAGGGCATTGTGCCGAAGCACTTTCCGTGCTTTCATGATACGGACTATAGCAGCTTGGAGATACATCTTACGGTCCTCATCTACAGCACTTCTGGTCTGCTCCATTTCCTGGTTTGCAGAAGAAACAAAAATAGCAAATGACACATTGCTACTTAACTCATCTTATCAGTGAGCTCAAAAATTTCCAACCAATCATGACCATCAAATTTATACACTATGCCATGTCAAATATCATAACTGATGCTAAAATATTATACCTCATCAATACGATTAAAGTTGAAGGTTATTTTTTAAAAATTAACACTATTGTAAACTATTCTGATGATGTAAATGGCAGTAAAGCAGGGCTTAAGTGAAACAATCATATTCAAGTAATTTTCTATCAGTGACTAGACTCTGTATAACAATGCTTTTAGATGGATTGCAGCAAGTACACTAAATGGTTCCAACTGCATACTAGCTTGGGCTGTAAGGGAAGGGTGGGGCAGGGTTTTATCTGGCTAGAGCAGAGCAATCAGGAAGGATGGCCACAGAGAGGATATCTCCAAGGAGCATAAGGAAACACAGATTGAGAGGCAGGCCATACCACAGGAATAAGGCCATTATGGTAACTTTTAAAACTCAAATACAATCCATGTTTGGCCAATTATTCATTAGCCTGCAGGATCATTTCAGGGTTCAAAGTTCAGGGAGATTAATAAACATATGTCTCCATCATAGAGAAAGAATTTTCTGGAGAGAGCCTTGAAATCTAACATTTCCTTCACATTCTACACTAAGTCCCAGGTTTGAACACAGGAGGCAACCAGGAACATCTGTGGTACAACCAGGTATCACAGACCAAAGCAATAATCACTGCTGAAGTTAAAAAGAAATCAAGAGTTATACACACTGGCTCATCCAGGAGTCTACACCCCACTCCAGACCTACTCACCATACCTGACATTTTAATGAGCTTTGCATGATCTCAGTGTAAACTGCATTTGTAAAGTCCAATACTTAAAAAACTCCAAGAGAACCATTCAAAAACACTTACCTGTGGTGTATCTTTCTGCATTGATGTAGTAATTTTAAATTTTGTTCTCTTACTGCTGAAGTTCATATTTAACGAAAATGAAGACTCTGCATCAATGTCTTCCTGCATTAAAAATGCATTTACAAAATTAAATTATTAAGAGCTTACTATATGACATGAAATTAAGTAATGATCAACAAAGAAGAATTAAATTCTCATAATTTTTAACATAAAATTATTGAACTGGAGAGAAAAATTGTCTTCTGCTAAGCAAACAAGCAAAAAGCAATTCTTTTCTAATTTTTTATTTGTCACAATCATCAGTTTACATTTAGTAAGAAACAATTTTCAGGTCCAACTAATAACTATACTATCTTTGCATACTGCTTAAATGAACAGGATTTAACATTTTAATTTGTAGGAAATACCAAGGCTCACAACTTTTCTATCATCCCATTCTGAAAAACCAAACAATCAAATGTTTTTAAAATGTTGCAATAACAAAATGCTCCTGGTAAGCACAACTAGAGCAGAAAGCTGTTTCCAGGGCACAGAGCACCAATTCTTTGTGATCATGGGGGGACAGAGACAGGTTGACTCTTTAATCCATGTTTTACTTCTTCAAAACGTGAGAAGCAAGTAGCCCTTTTTCAGTTGAAAGTTGCTAATTTTTAGAACAACACTTTCTGTGACTGCTTAAGAAAGTCTCTCAGCCAGGCGCTGGTAGTTCTGCCTATAATCCCAGCTACTAAGGAGGCAGAGATCAGGAGGATCACGATTTGAAGCCAGCCTGGGAAGATAGTTCCCAAGACCTTATCTCGAAAATACCCATCACAAATATAGGGCTGATGGAGTGGTTCAAGATGCAGACCCTGAGTTCAAACCCCAGCAGCACAAAAACAAAAACAAAACTTCTCCCATATACAGTAGACTCTTGGTATTGGTGGGTACATCGTTCCAAGGAGATGGCTGTTGAGGAAAAACCACAAATCCTCAGGATGCAGAGTTCAGTATCCTAAAATTACGCAAATTTACCTGTACCGTATGTGCAGTAAGCCTGAGCATTCATGACTTGAAACCCCAAGGAGGTTATATTATTGTCATAAAAATTACTGTCATGCACATTAATGATGCTCTCAAGAAACTAGTTCTTATTTCATGATCTTTAATACTGCAAACTTGATTCATCTTCCACATAACGCCATTCGACTTCCACTAGAGACAGGCTGCTGTCCAACAATCTAAAATTGTCACTTTATTGCTTAAATTAAGCATGTTAACTTTTACCTTGATTTTTGAGTTCCATTTCCTTTTGGGGAGCATATTTTAGTAAAATTAAGGATGGGGGCCAGGTTCAGTGGCTCAAGCCTATAATCCTAGCTACTCGGGAGTAGGAGATCAGGATCAGGAGGATGGAAATTGGAGGCCACCTTGGGCAAAAAGTTCTTAGACTCCATCTCAACCAATGGCTGGGTGCTGTGGTACACACCTGTCATTCCAGTTACTCGCGGAAGCACCAATAGGAGGATCACAGTCTAGGCTGGTGATAACTCCTGTTTGAGACCCTATCTCAAAAACTCCCAACACAAGAAAGGCCTGGAGTGGCTCAAGTAGTAGAGTGCCTGCTTCGCAAGTGTGAGCAAGGTGGACCTATTGTAGTGGAATGTCTCTGACAGCAGGACAAAGAGGCTCGTGGCTGAAGGATCAACAGTAAATCATCACCTAAGAAACTGCTGAGGAACCGGCAGATTCATAAAATTTAAAGTGCAAACAAATAATCTCTTCATATTTTGTAAGTACCATGTTTTAAGGGGGAGAACTTTTAAAGCACTTAATGCCTAAAAGTTAAAATGAATTAACTTATTAAAATCTTTTAACATTAAGAGCATATACTAAGATTCTGATGTCAGGAAAAAAAAATCAATCATTTCTCAAAATTAAGAAAAGATTGATAGTAATTTCAGAATATATGCCATTTGTAGTTGTTCAATTATGAAAAATGTCATCATACTCTTAGGGATGCCAGAAAAATGAATAGACATTAAGGTCTGAGACCTGACATCCAGGTTCCTGAGAGCACCTGGGATGGAATGCACGTGTAGACCTCAGGAGGCTATCATTCAGAACCACAAAATGAAAGTAACTGATAAACACATGCAAAAAACCCCAGAGTTATGTAGACTAGGTTAAAACCCTCAAGCACAATCCTCCAGGCAATTCTTTTACAATTTTGCAGTCAGCTGTCACAGTACAGGGCAAAGAAACTAGTAAGAGCACACATAGGCACTGGCTAAGACAGCCTTCTCTCTGACTCCAGAAACTCAAGAGCTGTGATGAGCTGGCTGGCACACAGCTAATCACGGTCTTTCCACAACTGCAGCAGCGATCCCATGAAAAAGCTTTTCATATTGATAATACTTAACTTCTTTGGGAAAATTACCACATACCTTTTCTGAGTCGTGATTAATCATTTTCACATCAAGTAATGATTTGATTGTTTTGGTCAGTTCCTTTTCATTCATCTGCGTGCTGTCTTGAAGCTCTTTGTAGCTGACAGTTTCACTGTTGTTAAAGGCAAGAAGAACCGCCATTTGGTATGTCGTAACCATAGCAACATACGGTTTGCCCAAATAGTTCATTTTAACTTCACCTACATTTAAAATGAAAATGGAAATAGTAAACTGACCATTCAAAGAAACATTTCAAAGTCACTGAGTAATATCTATTTATTTCAGACTTTTCTCTGAAAACAGTGAGACAAGACTTTTAAATCATTATTAACCATTCCTGCTAACAATGTGGATTTTGTTTTGTTTGCAGGGAGCAGGGGTCTTACTGGTTTTGAATATGTAGTATAAATCAGTTAATCTAGGGAAGGGGAAAGGAGAATGATGGAGGGGTAACTCTAACTAAGCTATATTGTAAGTACATATGTAAATATCACAATGTATCCCCCTGTACAGCTATTATATGCTAATAAAAAATTTAAAAATCAAGTAATCTATTATATCTTGCCAGTAGGTTTAAACAAAGCTTTTAAATATCAATAGGAAAGCTAAGGCTTAGGCAGGAAAAACAATAAAAGGAGTGGGAGAAGGAAGAATGGACAGACAGACAAGGGGAGAGAGTGTGTATATTCTTGGACTGTTTAACAGACTACAAACTAAACCAGCATGAAATTTGATTTAAAACTCTTCATTTTAATTCAAGGAAGCTGCACTTTACATGAAATGACCCCTAAAGATTACATCCAATTCTGGGATGATAGTAACTCTAATCAAGATTTTGTGTGTTCATTACATAATCAGACTTTGTATCAGTCAACTGCCCCACTCAGTAATGCACAAATGGCCAACTCTCACTATCATTATTGTCATTCGCACCTTAGCTATTTCAGAAAAATAATACTCAGAAATATTTTTCAGAAGTATTTGGACAGGAAAATCCAAATCTCCTATTTATGAAAGAAGTTTTAAAATACTAATTAGAATATCCAGCTCTCACAAATTGTCATTACAAATGCAGTACTAATACTTGACAATACTTGAAGGACTTGACTAATACTTTAAGTTGGGATAATGTGTTAAGAACTTTAAGTTGGGATAATGTGTTAAGAACAAAAAATTGTATTAATTGCCTTTTAATATTTTTTAATGACTAGCTACTCAAAAGACTGTTGGAAGGAATTATAAAATAATTCATCAAGAACCTGGATGACTCAATGGGACTGTGGCCAGGGTGTCACTTCCCCACAAAATAGTCTTTCACACCACAAGAACTCAAACAGCATTAGGACATAATGCAAGTAAGGGACCAAAAGTACCGTTTACCTACTATTAAGCTCATTCTACAATACTTAAAAAAGAGAAAAATAATCCAGGTTTGAGTGTCCCAAGCCTGCCATCCCAGATACTTGGGAGGCAGAGATAGGGAGGATCACCATTCTAGACAAGCCTGGGCAAAAACTTAGCAAGACCCTATCTCAACACACAAGCTGGGCATGGTGCTTCATGCCTGTGATTGCAGCAAGGCAGCAGGCATGGGGAGAAGGGATGCTGTCCAAGGCTGGCCCTGAACAAAGTATGTGAGGCCCTGTGTACAAAAGAAACTAAAGCAAAAGGGCCAGAGGACAAATGGCAGGCCTGAGATCAAAGCCTAGTACCACAAAAAAAAAAAAAAAAAAAAGAGAGAGAGAGAAATAGTTTTCATATTATGCCTTTTCTTGCTGTTTTTCAATAAAATATCAGGGATCAGACACATGGGCCCTTCCCACTTTCTTCAGCACTATCTCTTCATAGTCAGCACATAGCAAAAAAGCATAGAGGAATCTGTGGGCAGGAACCCCAAATTTGATCAATTCACTTAATTTCTGCCAGAGAAACAGAAAATGAAAATGACCAAAGGTGGTAATTTAACCTGCACAGTAGGTTGAGAAATGCTAGACTAAAAACAAAAATAAAAATCTTGATGCACATATACTTTTTAAGTTAGCCAACCATCATTTGTGAGGCATTTGCAATCATGAGAAAGTGTGGGCACAACTCTGCAGCTTCAAGTCAATCCCCATTGTCTCTGCCAGCTCCCTACTCTCTTAGAGAAAGCTTTTCTTTAAAGGATGGCTGTCAGCTAATAAATGGTAGAGGAATAACAGAATATCACCATCTTTCAATCAGTCATAAAATAACTAAGCCAGGTAAAATAATCCTGGAACAGAGTGCTTATATGTGACTTTAAAATGTCACCCTTCAGATCCCCTATGAATTGAAAAGGAGAAAGGGGGCCTTTTTTAGCACAAGTGTTCCTTGCTGATAACACTCAATCTGAGTATGATCAAATGTTGTGACCTAATTTCCACTTTACATAGAGTATAAGGAAAAGAAAACAAAAGCCATCACCAGGAAAAGTTATGACAAATTCAAGACAATGGATACTCCACAGGACAAGGGAGCTGGGCTGTTTAAAGCATTTGTCACAGAGTGCTAAGGACAGGGGTGGGGTAGGTGGTAGGGAGAGGAAGTGGGGAAAAAACAAATATAATTCCTTTGAATTGCATAAGAACAGCTAGTAATGTTTCTTTGGGGAAAACCAGGGAGAAGTGGACGTGGATTCCACACCAAACAATATAAAGACCCCCTCACCACTTTTAGCTTTTTAAGTAGAGTAACAAGTAGAATCCAGACAATGACACAATCACTACATTTTAAGGTCTATGAAATAATACACCGTGGCTTTCATTTCTGCAGTTTTGCCTGATTTGATCTTGGCAAATAATAGTAAAACTACCTGGGCTGGCTGTGGGACACAAGAGGCAGAGGGCTTGCTTAGAATGGGGAAGGTCCTGAGTTCAATTCCCAGAATAAAAAAAAAAAGACAGGCATGGTACAGTATGCCTGCAATCCCAGCTACTCAACAGGTGGAGACAGGAGAAGTGAAGACTGAGGCCAGCCCCAGCAAAGTTAGCTCAAGGTCTGCCTGAAAAAAACAAAAGGACTGGTGCATGGCTCAAGAGGTAAAGCAAATTAAATTCAACAACATTAAGATATACCAGTTTTCTTAAGAAACATAACAAGCAGGGTGCCAGTGGCTCATGACTGTAATCCTAGCTACTCAGGAGGCAGAGATCAGGAAGATCCTGGTTTGAAGCCAGCCCTGGGCAATTAATTCCTTGAGCCCCTACCTCAAAAACACCTAACAGAAAAAAGGGCTGATGGAGTGGCTCAAGGTGTAAGCCCTGAGTTCAAACACCAGTACTGAAAAAAAAAAAGAAACATAACAGCTAGCTGGTAGTGGTGCACAGCTATAATCCACTCAGCACTCAGGAGGCCAGCCTGGGCTACATACTGAGTTTGTATTTCAAACAAAACACCAACACCAACAAAAAAAACCCCAAACTAATACAACAACAAAAAGAAAAACATAATGTCTAAAACACTAATCCAGAAAATGTTTTTTTCTTGAAATTATGTTTACTAATAGAAAAATTCACATTATGAATAAAATAAAATGTCAACTATCAATCAATCACTTAAGAATATCAATAAACTTGCAATATATATCACTGCAGGATGAGTTATCATATTCCAAAAGGCAAACAAATGGCAAGTATGTATTTAGATATGATCTTTTTTAGGTGAGTAGACAAAAAGAGAATTTCCTAATAAAGGTTATAAAGCTAACAAGAAATCTTGTACCATTTCTAATAGATACTGTTGACACATACATCCTTCACTTTTTGTGTAAGTCAAAAGCTGATTCATTGCACTTCATAGCAGTTTGGTAAAAGGAGAAAAAAAATCCGAGAGCATTTGTTCTGGCTAACATCTTTGGGCAACTCAGAGCAATTGAACACAGTCTTCAAATGTTTAGGTGTTAACTCTACATCAAAAGGTAGGCCCCACTTTTCCAAAAAGCAAAGAAAGATATTAGGTTGTGACTAAGTTTTCTTACAATGGAAACTATGAGAAATTAATTTGGAATTTCTTGAAAACTGCAGCTCATAGTATTGGAAGAGGTGCCTAAATTACTTTTGCTGAAAGGCACTGACTCTGTACTTGGCCCCATGAATTAGCTAAAATCAGGAGAAAAGCTTGGCATCCTTGTCTCCATTTTGTACCTGTTGACCTTTGCTCTGAGCTATTCTCTCCTGCAGCCACCTTGGAATCATGAAAAGATAGGTATGATTGGTAATATCTTTTTATGACAAGGGACTGAAACTACCCCTAAGATACAGCAGAGCCTTGCAGCACAGACCACCCCTCTAAAAAGGGACAATTACCTATAATGAGCAGGAGCAGCAGTAATCATCTCATGGGAACCAGATTGCAAATGATGACAGCACTAACAACTCCAGAACCCTCAAAGAACAAAGACTGAGATTATGGCCAACCAGGCCCATTCCACCACTGGTGACTGGGACTATTTAACTATGTATACCTTTTGTCCCTTGCCCTAATTCTTTGTCTATTTAAAGTCAAAGCTCACTTTTGTACCCCAAAGATGGCTAAAGATGAGCTTAGTGCTAACTCTGCCTCTTCCCACAGCTTGTTCTGGCCATAGTAAATCTCATTTTTGTGCCCTTCACCCGCATCTCTTTATTTGGCGAACAGGAGCCAGTGGCTAAATGTGACGTTTGGAAGCCTGACATTTGGACCTAGGGTCCAAAACTCTGGTTTCAAATGGCCAGTCTCCTAATGATGCAAATAGTTACTCAAACTTCCAAAGATACCTGGCATATCAAAGAAAGTATCTGTCGGAACAGCTGACCCAAGTCAGCTACAGAAATGGTGCTTGGCTATAGGAATGTAAAATTAAAAATTTCTCTAATAGCAATATTATAAGCAGCATAGTTCTAAAATACTATTAAAAAGTGCTTTGCTTGAGTTTCATTATTAGTTGCTCTAATGGTAACCAGAAAGGTAGAGGGAGGAGAACAATTAAAAAACTGTAATTAGAAGTGTGAGTCCCTAGATTGAAATCTCAGGACAATCAAAATAAATAATAAAAACTATAATTAGGCTATAGGAAATAGTCTCCTAAGTTAACACAATAATAGTTAAATTTCATTAAACCAGCTATAATTAAGTGCAGTTTACCTGTACAGAGATAATGTAACCATGTAAGTTTCCTTCCACTGAAATGCTGGCTATAAAATAATTCAAACTGTAAAAAAAAAAAAAAAAAAGGAAAATAATCAAATTATTTTTAGCTACTACAACTTACCTAGTTATCATCACACTAAAAATGTAAATATGTTCATGTTAGAAACATTATATCCCACAGAGAGGGTACATACCTTCACACTTTAAACACATTCTTGGAATGGATCACACAAATACCTCAGATTTTTCTTTTGAGATATACTGGCACAACACTTTCAATACAACCACCCAACTTCACAGAATAACTTTAACACTTTGTTCCTAAGTTAGCAGCATCTCCTGCGTTGAGGCCCCTGTATACACACATGCATCTGATCCAAGTAGAAACATTAAAAGCAGAATGGCTAGATGGGTGGTATGCACCACAGCCCAGCTCCTTCTGAGGCTGAGGCCAAGCCCAGGGGTTCATGGCCTCCCTGACCAGGCACAGTGGAGATCACCATCTCAAAGCAAATGGGCTGGGAATGTAGCTCAAGTGGAAGAGTACCTATTTAGCAGGCCTAAGGCCCTAGTTCAATTGTGGTACTGTGAAAGAAAAAAGTCGAGGGGAAGTAGCTTAGACAACTGCCTATACAAAGGTAGACAAATACACTGTAATTACTTTTCTTCCCAGTTCAGGATTAGGGGCATACTGTTAGCATGATGTGCCATAAGCAACATACTGAAGGTTTTTATTTGCATCACCAACTTTACCTTTGTACTTTGAAAAATACATTTAAAAAAAGCAACTAGCAGCTAATCTCTCAGCTGTGCTACGCTCACTCCTTCCAGTGAAATGACCAAGAGAACTGATGAGCGCTCTCAGCAGTTTAGTGAAGTTGGCCTAATCTTGAGAAGCTGGGATAGCTAGGTTTTACCCAGCAACTGATACTAGCAAAATGTCTACCCTCAAAAAAAAAACCACCTCCACCTTTAATCTGAAATGTGACTGCAAAGATTCTCATAGTATAACTGATCGAGAACAAAGAATCAACTCCAAATGAGATCATTTCAATTCATCTGGTATTCCAAGACAAAAGTTATAAGACCTTGTATGATTATATTACTAAATACTTGTAGTACCAAAGTTTGTTAATGCTGGCAGAGAAGCTCAAACTTGCCTGCCTAGCAAGCTTGAGGCCCTGAGTTCAAACTCCAGCCCCACCAAAAAAACCTTACACCCAAAGTTTATTAACAATAAAAAAAGTGTTAACAAATTTCTCATTTTAAAGAAAATAGACTAAAAAACAGCATTTTGCTAATACCATCTAAAGGTACTAAGGAGATGTGAAAGGGCCTTTAAACTAACATTTCATATTCACTGAGTTACTCACTTCTAACAGAGCTGTATCAATATTAACTATACAATTCTCTCATAATGCTCCCATTTGTGAGCTAGGCACAAAAGAAAACCAGTAAATTTGTTGGTTTATTTTATTTATTTATTTATTTATTTATTTTGGTGGTACTGAGGTTTGAACTTGGGGCCCCACGCTTAGTAAGCAGGTACTTAAGTAGGTCCCCAATCTTTTTTTAGCTTAGTTTTTTTTTTTTCAGATATGTATCACATTTTTGCCTAGGAACAGCCTCTGAATGAGATCCTCCTACCTATACTTCCAGACTAGTTGGGATTATAGGCAAGGACCACTAAGCCCAGCTTATTGGTTATATGGAGGTCTCACTAACACTTTGCCTGGGATGGTTTTGAATGTGATCCTTGGGATATCTCCCTCTAAAGTAGCTGGGATTACGGATGTGAACTACCATTTCGGCTGGATTTATTGGTTTAAAGTGAAAAATAAAATTAATACATTTGCATTTTTAAATAAATTTTTATTAGGATATATTTGTTATGGGGGAGAATTTGTAGTGACAATTCCAATTAGACTTATATTAGACATTATTTATATTGCCTACATCGTCTCTCCCCCTCACCCCCCTCCCCACCCCACTTAAAGCAATTTTAAGAGGTTTCTTTGCTCTATTTCATAAAGGTATATGAAGTCCATCTACCATATACCCTCATCTTAATCTCCTTCATTCATCCTCCCCCTCCCAAAAGTTCCCCACCCCGAGACACACTCACTGTACCTATTTTACAGTCCTGGTTTTCATTATTAATATTTAAGTTGATGTTCAAAGGGGTGTCTCAATGTACACCCACTGTGGGTATACTTTACTTTGATCCATTCAACTTCTTCCTTTACCTCCCACCCCGTTTTTCAACAGCTTTGAATACATATCCTTATGTCCTCTAACTTCACATCTTATGCTATGTGATATTACTTACGCTCTATCATTTTCTTTTCCTTTTCCTGAGTTCCATAGAGTAGTTCCACTGTTACAAACATGTTCTACATCTGAGTTTGTATATGATCATGCTTGTTTGTGTATATGTTTATCTTTGGATCTATCTTCCACATATGAGAGAAAACATGTGGCTTTTGTCTCTGATCCTGGCTTACTTCACTTAACATAATGTCCTCCAATTGCATCCATTTACCTTCAAACCACATGTTATTCTTCCTTATGGCTGAGTAATACTCCATTGTGTATCTATACCATAATTTCTTGATGTATTCATCAGTTGTAAGACACCTGTTTCCAAAGCTTGGCTATTGTGAACAGTTCTGCAATGAACACTGGTGTACTATATCCTGTCTTACCTTCCTTTGGGTAGATGCCCAGGAGTGGTATCACTGGATCATATGGCAGTTCTATTTCCAGTTTTTTGAGGAATCTCCATACTGCTTCCCATAGTGGTTATACTTATGTGCATTCCCACCAGCATTTGTTGTTATTACCCTTGATTATGGCCATTCTAACCAGGATGAGATGAAATCTAAGTGTTGTTTTGATTTACATCTCTTATAACCAGGGAAGTTGAACCCTTCTTTATGTATTTACTGGCCATTTGTACCTCTTCCTTTGAGAATTCCGTTTAATTCATGTGCCCATTCCTTCAATGCAGTGTTGATTCTTTGAGGGCAGAGTTTTTTGAGCTCCCTATAGATTCTGGATATTAGTCTCTTATCAGATGAGTCCCATTTGTTCATTCTTTCTCTTAGATGCTGAGCCTTTTGAGTTCTGTTTCTGAAGTCATTCCCCATACCTATCTGATCCAGTGAATTTCCTACTGCTTCCTGGAGTTGTTTCAAAGTTTCAAGCACTAAATTAAGGTCTTTGATCTACTTCGAGTTGATTTTGGTACAGGGCGAAAGACAGGGATCTAGTTTCAGTCTTCTTCATGTGGACATTCAGTTTCCCAGAAGCATTTGTTGAAGAGGCTGTCTTTTCTCCACCACGTGTTTTGTGCTCCTTTGTCAAAGATCATTTGGCTATAAATGCATGGGTTTATGTCTGGACCTTCTATTTTGATCCACTGGTCTTCCTGTCTGTTCTTACTGTTATGTCTCTGTAGAATAGTTTGAAGTTGGGTATTATAATGCTTCCAACATTGGACTTTCTGCTCAGAATTTCTTAAGCTATTCAAGGTCTTTTGTGTTTGCATATGTATTTCACAATTGCTTTTTCTATTTCTGTGCAGAATGTCATTGGAATTTTGATAGGAACTGTGTGGAACATGTAGATTGCTTTTGGTAGTATGGCTGTTTTTCACAATATTGATTCTACCAATCCACAAGCATGGATGTTCTTTCCATCTTCTGATGTCTTCTTCGATTTCTCTCTTCAGTGATTTATAGTTTTCATTAAAAAGGTCTTTGGTTCCTTTCATTAGATTTACTCCAAGGCACTTTATCATTTTTGAGGCTATTGTAAATGGGATTGTTTCCCTGGTTTTCTCCTTGGTCTGTGCATTGTTGGTACGTAGAAAAGCTACTGGTTTCTGTATATAATGAGAATGTCATCTGCAAATAGGGACACTTTGACTTCTTCCTTCCTTATTTGGATCCTTTTTATTTCTTGCTTTTGTCTTATTGCACTGGCTAGGAATTCCAAAACTATATTGAACAGGAATGGAGAAAGCAGACAACCCTGTCTCATTCCTGACTTCAATGAGAATGGTTTAAGTTGTTCTCCATTTAGTAATGATGTTGGCTCTAGGTTTGTCATATATAGCCTTTATTATGTTGAGGAGCTTTCCTTCTATTCCTAGTTTCTTCAGAGCTTTTATCATGAAAGGGTTTTGGATTTTATCAAAGGCTTTTTCTGCATCTACTGAGAGGATCATGTGGTTTTTGTCCTTACTTCTGTTTATATGTTGTATTACATTTATAGATTTTTACATATGTTGAACCATTCTTGCATCTCTAGAATGAAACCAACTTGGTCATGATATTTGCCAGTATTTTGTTGAGAATCTTTGCATCTATATTAAAGATACTGGTCTATAATTCTCTTTCTTGGCTACATCTTTATTGGGTTTTGGAATGAATGTAATGCTGACTTCATAGAATGAATTTGGTAGTGTTCCTTCCCTTTCTATTTCCTGGAAAAGTTTGAGGAGTATTGGTGTTAGTTCTTCTTTAAAGGTTTGGTAAAATTCAGCTGTTAATCCATCAGGTCTGGGCTCTTCTTTATAGGGAGACTCTTTATTACTGCTTCAATTTCATTGCATGTAATAGGAATATTCAGGTGTTTAATATCTTCTTGGTTCAATTTTGGTTGGTTATATGCATCTAGGAATTTGTCCATTTCATCTACATTTTCCAGTTTACTTGAATATAACTTTTTGAAGTACTCTCTAATGATTATCTGGATTTTGTTAGTATTTGTAGTTATCTTCCCTATTTCATCTCTGATTTTATTAATTTGTGTCTTCTTCCCAACCCCATTTTGTCACGTTGGCTAAGGGTTTGCTGATCCTGTTAATCCTGTCAAAGAACCAAGTTTTTGTTTCATTGATTCTTTGTATAGTTTGTTTGGTTTTGATCTCATTTATCTCGGCCCTGATTTTTATTATTTCTCTCTGTCTGCTGGTTTTGGGTTTGGTTTGTTCTTGTTTTTCTAGGAGCTTAAGATGCATCATTAGGTTGTTTATTTCAGAAGTCTGTTTATTTGCAGTTTTTTGTTTTGTTTTTTTTCAGTATTGGGGCTTGAACTCAGGGCCTACACCTTGAGCCACTCCAGCCCCTTTCTTGTGATGGGTTTTTTTTTTTTTTTTTAAGATAGGGTCTCACAAACTATTTGCCAGGGCTTCCTCCTGATCTCTGCCCTATAGCTAGGATTATAGGTGTGAGCCTCCAGTGCCTGGTTTATTTGTATTATAGTTTTAAGATACTGATGTATAAAATAGAAGTAGTTTTTGATAAATAACTATATTTAAGATTAATATTTTAAAAATACAAATCACTATGGCAAGATGAACTAATTTACATATGAACATTGTACAATATAGAATATGCAAATGAATTTTAGTCCTGAGTAGTTGAAAACTTGGATTTACTAGAGGGAGAAAAACTCCCTCTACTGGTAATTGAGGAATCTTGAAACTTTTATTTTTATGTATTTATTTTTTTGTAAGTACTGGCATTTGAACTCAGGGCCTCACACTTGCTAGATAAACACTCTACCACTTGAGCCACTCCACCAACCCTGGTTTGTGTTGGGTATTTTCAAGATAGGGTCTCTCGAACTATTTGTTCCGACTAGCCTTGAACCTCAAGCCTCCTGATCTCTGCCTCCCAAGTAGCTAGGATTATAGGCATGCACTACCCCCCTTGTTTAGTAGAGATTGGAAGGACCATGGTTTGAGGGCAGCCCAGTCAGAAACATTAGCAAGACCCTATTCTCAACCATAGGTAGGAGAATCACCATCTAACAACCTCTGAGCAAAAACTTGAGACCTAATCTAAAAATAGAGCAAAAAGGGCTGCAGAATGGTTCAAGTGGAGAGCACTTGCCTAGCCAGCACCAGGCCCTGAGTTCAAACCCCCAGTACCAGAGAGAGAAAGAAGACAGAAACTACCCATTGCTCACATCCCTAGGCAACAATGTAATGAATAACAGTATAGTTCAGTGGATCACAACCACAAGTCACCACCAAAATAAGGAACTAATAAAGGATGATAAAATTTTCTCTGGAAAAAACTGCCTTTCAAAACTTTAGAGAATCAAAATTGTCAGTTTCATCAGAAATGAAAACATCTCCACTCAAAAACTTGTACATGAATGTTCTTAGCAGCATTATCTGTATACAAAAAAGCAGAAACCCAAATGTCCATCAATTGATGAATGGATGAACAAAATGTGGATATCCATACAACAGAATATTATTTGGCAATAAAACGGAATAAATGTGTTAGTATGTATATACTACAACACAGGTGAACCTTAACATTATGGTATGTCAACACTGTGTAGTCAAAAAATTTGATTCCATTTATATGAAATGTCTGAGATAGGCAAATTTGTACAGACAAGAAACAGATGGCCTAGAGTAGGGGAAGAAGGAAGAAATTAAGGGGAAAGGGAGAGTGACTGCTAGTGAGTGGAGTGTTTCTTTTGGGGCAATGACAGTCTAAAACTGTGGTTATGGTTGCCGAATTCTGTGATTATACTTCAGGTTCACTGTCCCTAATACAAAAATATAAATGCTCCAAAATCTGAACCTTTGAGTGCCAACTTGTCACCACAAGATTCACACGTGACCTCATATGATGGGTGGAATTCAAAATGCAGGTGTGCGACAAATATTGCATAAAATCACCTGTGGGCTATGGCACATAATATATATTTTGTGTTAAGATTTGGATCCTTATGTGCATTTAAATATTCCAAACTCTGAACAGAATCCCAAATCCAAAATTACTCTGGTCCTAAGCATTCCTGATAAGGGACACTTAACCTGTACTGGAAACACTGAAAAAAGTTTGTATATATGAAGATGTACATCTGTTTACTTGGGGTTTATAACTTTAGTATTTTGTAAGAATTAAAATTTGAGCACCTGAAAAAATAATAAAACTACTGAAATTGTACACTTTAAGTGGGTAAACTGCATGTTGTATGACTTATAGCTCCATATGGTTGTTTAAAAAATGATTTAGCTCCACAGTGTCTCTGTTTCTGTTTCTCTTTTTGGGATGGAATCCAGGGCCTTGTGAAAGCTAAGCAAGTCCTCTGCCACTGAGCTAGACCCCAGCATCATGGTCTCTGTAGAAGGATTTTGGTCAGCATTCTAAGGTTTGTGTTTTGTCAAAGTTTTTGGTGACACTGGGATTTGAACTCGGGGCCTCATGCTTGCTAGGCAGGTCCTCTACCACCTGAGCCACTCAGCCAGCTTTATCAGTTTAAAGTAATTTTCCCTTGAAATTGCCAGCTTCAATAAATTTTTTTTTAGAACACTTCACATTATTTTCCTTAACTGCAGGGAAGAAATAAGTATTACAAGGGATAAATAAAGCATAAAAATGGCTCAATCTTCAAGAGTAGGGCTCTAGCTCAGTGGTAGAGCATTTGCCTATTGTGTACAAGACTCTGGAGTCAATCTCTAGCACTGTGAGAGGGGAAAAAAAACCAAAAACACAAAACAAACTTCTTGTCTGACAAAAATGGCTCAAAATTCAAATGGAAAAAGCAATGATATTTTAAAGTGCTGGCTTCTTTTTTGAAATTTAAAACTGCTTAGGAGTAGACAGTAACTTATTTAAAAATAACAGATATTTGATAAAGAACTCACTGACATCCTTACCATTTTAGTTTTAGTTTTAGTGTTGTAATTATAATAATTTACATTCTTCCTAAAGAGCAGAGAGAAGCTGAGGATGCAGCTCAGTGGCTGCATATGCAGCCTGGATTTGGAGCCCCAGAATCCCAAGAACTGAACGGCAGAGAAACTATAATTTGTGAATGTACTTTTCTATCACATGAGTCCTTGAAGACAAAGGGAAAATACTGAAAATGACAATTACTTGGGTTGGTGGGGATAGTTCAGTAATAGAGCATGAGCTTACAGGTACTAACACAGGCCCTTGGGTTAAATGCCCTACACCAAAAAAACAAACCAAACCCCTCAAAAAACTCTCAAACAAAACGTACACATAAAACCAATTTTAAAATTCTTTTGGTTTACTAGTAATTTTTCTGCAAACTTACCATCTGTACACTTTTTTCTAACTCCTGGGGAATTGCAAATGTAGACGAAGGAGCCTGAGTAAGAGGCCACGCGCCAGCCTACAAGGAAAAAAATGAAGTGAAAAGTTAAATACATCAACATCTAACTAAATATTTATAACATTTTTTAAGCAACCAAAACTCCTTTTTTCCTTCCTCAGGTAAGACCCATCATCATTAGCTTATGGCACACTTCACTCAAATCAATATAACACACGCAACTACAGAGCCACAATTCACCAGCTGAAGCAATGTAACCCAGCATCCATTCATGATTGGTAACCAATAAGAAAACACATATTCATACCTGTAGTACATATATTTGAAAACTAATTCCCAAATCTATTACTGTATCTTGGTTTCTAATAAAATTGTTGAACTTATTGTTGAGATCGGCACTGACACTCATGTCTGTATACATCCTATGTAGCTTGCTGGTAAACTCATAACCACAGGCTTGCTGTAAGAGAAAAAAAAAAAAGTTTTGAATATATATAACTTAATGAAAGATAATCAGCCATGGTGATCAGAAAGCATGTGTCACTACTGTTAGGTCTTTGGGCAAATGATTTGCATCTAAAACAAAAACATTTCTATAAAATTCATATATCTTATTTGAACACTGCAAAATGCTCCTTTTGCTATATATAATATGCCTTTCTGGTTCACATGTAACATCAAATGCACATGAAAGGTAACTGTCAATACTCCAGCTATAGTCATTTAAAAAAGAGAGAACATACTCAGACATACATTTAAAACCAGCTACTGGGCAATAGAGAAACCTATTTCTATTAGTATGTAGAATGAACTAAAATTCATTCAATAGCACTTCAAAACTTCTAAAGGAATATTTCAAGTATATTCCTTTATAAGTATATTAGTTGTTTTCATGTTAATGCTGATTATCTTGGAGATCTTTCTACACCAGTATATAATATGGAGATACACGGTCCTCTCAGTACAGTATTTAAATCACCCAACTGTAGGAATATCTGTCATACACTTATCCTGTCCCTGTTAAGTGAATTATTTCCTATCATTCCACACACTTCAACAATGAACATCTGTATGTGCTGGTGGAAAAAGTTCTACAACATTATCACATCAAAAGTTTGTATTACCTTTAATTTATTGATCATGGCTTCTTCAGAGTCCATAGACATAGATAACCCATGAATTAAACGTTTGGCCAGCATTCTTGCGTAGAACTACATGAAAAATATTTTTTAAAGATTACTTCCTCCCTATGATTAAAGTTCAATAATAAAGCAAAACTGATAATACAAATGAAAGCTTTTCTATTCAGAACATACCTTTTGAAAAACATCTTTATCATCAATGTATTTGAAAACAGTAATGAAGCTAGTAAGTTTGTCTTCCACTTCATTCTCAGTCATCCCTTTGGCTGACTTCTTTAGCAAGTTGTCACAGTACTTAGCAAGCTCAAATAGAAATTGATAATAAATTTTATAAGAGGCCCTTTTGGACACATGACTCAACATTGGCAAAGTTGCAACAATACAGAGTAAGATCAATAGGTAGGGCTTGATATCCTAAAGTTTGCTTTAAATATTATAATATTGCAAAATATAGGCAGACAAGGTAAAATTTAAAAAGCACAAAACAACTCAAAAAGCTAATTGATACTTGGTGACCAATAAAACATTGATAAGGGTTGGAGACATGGCTCAAGGGGTAGAGCACCTGCCTTGCAAGTTCAAAGCCCTGAGTTCAAACCTCAACAGCACCACAAAAAAAAAAAAAAACACACATTGATAAGTAATATAAACATCTTTCTTTTCTTCCGCTTTTTATTAAAGGCAGTCTCATGATAATTCTCCTGCCTCAGTTTCCCAAGTACAAGGATTACAGGCATGTACCACCTTGCCTGCTATAATATGAATTTCTAAAGAAATACCTGGCTGAGTTGTGAGTGGTTGTATAATTTTAACACTAACCAATTCCTTTTTAAATTTTTATATACACCTTGCAAACAGGTTTCCCTCAAAGGTTACCACCAATTTATTAGGTTTCCTTCAGATTCCAGATATAAAAAAACCAGAGATACAAATTATTTCAAAGTAGACATACTTTCAAACCTAAAAGTACATGGTTTACTTGTATTTCTTACATAAATGCCAAATTATAATGAGGCAGATAATTTTTCATCTTTCTTCTTATAAAATTTTATCAAAAACAACCCAAAATTAACTTGACATGCTCTTAGCTTTCTTCTTCAAATACTGATTTTGAGTAAGATTGTTTTTAAACATCCATAAAACTTACCAGTTCAGGTGCTTTGCAAACAGACTTGGGCTCTCTGTAATTTACAACTGATGTCAGGGCCTAAACAGAAACCAAGTGAGTATTTAGTCACAGCAACAGGGCAAAAGCACAGGTGATTCAACATGCTATAGTCTGGATGCCTCAAGTGGCCGCCCGGTATGATTTCGACCTTATATGTCCCTTAAAGGCCTAGTCACCTGTCCACAGTGCTGCTGAAGTTGGTGCAACCTTTATGGGGTTGAGACCCTGATCCCTCCCTCTGACCACCCTCCCTAACCAGCATGAGGTAAGCATTTTCGTCTGGCGTATGTGCCCTAGCATGAGGTACTGTCCAGCCACAGGCCAAAGTAACCATACACTAAAACCTCTGAAACCATGAGTCCAAATGAACATTTCCTCTCTGTGAAGTTGTTTATCAACTTATTTCTGTCATGGTACAGAAGGCTAACACACCACCCCACACAATACAAAGCATTTTCAGTGGTAGTTTAATATTGGTTCCATAGCAGACTTGCCTAACTGTGTGACTAATAATCAATACATATCCTATTCTTGGAAGGTATTCTTTATAACTCATTACTGAATATTGAATGCAGATAAAATAACACTACAACCTTGCAAACAAATTTCCTATGCAGAACACCAAAACTCAAGTCTGTGAAATATTTGTATTTCAAAGTATTATAGAATATAATTGGAGGAAAAATCAGTACTGAAAGAATATTAAAATTATGCATTATTTTAGAGGATACTAGTTTATTAATGATTCCACTGATATAACATAGTAATGGGAATTTCACAGGCATTCAATTTAACCATTCAGATAAAAATTTAAAACTTCTATTATTCCTACTGTGACTGACATTTAAATTAGATACACAAGATTAATGTCCATGTTAAGATCAGAAACTCCATGCTTAGAAGCCTAATCCTAAAACTGCTTATAAACAATTAAAAAGTTACCTTATCCAATGCACTCATAAAATGCTGATCACCATTCAAAACAGTGTTGATCAGCTGAACAAATTTGCCATGTACTTCCAAAACTGACTCCACAAACAGTGTTGGCATCTAAAAATGAATCCAGAGTAAAAAAAAAAGAAAGAAAGAAACACACACATTTTTAAGAACGTCAGAATAAAATCAGGCTCATGGAAGACTTATTTAAAAGTAAAGTTCATCCCCAAATTATTTCATTCTTCATTCTCTCTCATCCCCGTTCCCCCAAAAAAGGTCTTTACAGCACTGCAAAAACAGTAACAAAAAAGGAAATGAAGATATCTTTACCTAAAGTGGTCTTAAAAACCTAAAATAGTGATTCAACACCAGAACTGTCTAATACAGATGAGACTACTAAAAGCATACTCCTGTCTTATGTTAGAAGACCATATCTTAAGGATAACAGGATAAATCTCTAGAAATCCAGCCTATCCCTGTCACAGAGGATTATACAAAGAAAGGCTGCCTGCAAAGCCACTGAATGGTGAGAGAAGAGGGTTAAAAAGCCACTACCTGTGAGAACAGAGACCCCTGGAGCTAGGCAATATAACACCCCACATCTCAGAAGGAAGCAATGCCTACTAGTGCAAATGTGAGTTTCCCTGTAAATGAAGATAAATGAAGAAGTGGATACATAAGGTTGAACTAAGTCAGGTGAATTTTTACTGTGGATGCATTCCTTTGCACTTCCACCTCCCAGCTTTGACACTAGATATAATGCTTCTATGCCCAATGTTATTCAAACATGTTCAATCTAATAATATAAACTACTACTGAATACAGGATAATAAAGCTAAACCAATATACACTAATAGTTCTACAAAAATGGAAAACTTCTCATTTATTGTTGCAAGACATAAAAACTGAGAATTATTATTTGCTAAAAAGAAATCTACTACCTAGGTGATTAGCATCTATCTAATAAGTGTTCCCAGGCAATGATGTCCATAAACAGATTACTAGTACAGATGAAGAGCAAAAACTACTACTTAAGAGACTGAAGTAACATTTCATGTTCTGTCTACCTAATTCTCTACCACCTCTAATAACAAGAAGACAGTCAAATGTGGCAGGAATACAATGAAAAGAAAGGCAATTTGTTATAAATGGAGATCTGAATGGCAAATGACTCTTGAGAAACATGGGTATTAGGGATGGAAGGGTCAGTGTTTGGGACATTCTGGATAGAAAGTATATACAGTTACAATGAAACCATTATGTAGAACTTGAGACATATTTTCCTATGAGACATTAACAAATGCCAAGTGAATGCATCAATACGGCCAAGAAGCAGCTGATCGCTGATCCCATCCAGTTGTTTTCTAATAATTCCAAAATGAGTCCAGGAGATGCTCATTTAAAGCCATTGAATACTATCTGTTGGCATAATGAGGCTTTTCCTTTCATCTTTTAAAATAGAAAAGCCAAAAGAAAAACTCCATGTTAAGTGTGATTAAGAGAAAAACTTCCAAATTCCTTGTTACAACTCACATTTTCCTGAGTAAGGTTACTGGTTGCTCTAAGGCCCTCATCATGGATATGATTTTGAAGCTCCTGAATCATGTGAGGTAATCCAGTGGACACAGCACGGAGTAAGACATACATGTTTGCCATGTCTGAGGGGGGAAAGAAAATTCATTAGTAAATTCCCAAGCAGCTTTAATTTATGAGGTAATACATGGGTTAAAATTTAGAGGTACAAGAGCAGATGAAAATCCACCCCCCACTTCCCCACTGATCTCCCAGCCTCCCTACCATCCTCCCCACAGAAAATGTCATGGTTGTTATCTTTCCAAAGATGATGTGTGCACTGAAGAAAATGCACATACTCTTCTTCCCTGCTCCTTTTTAAAAACAGTACAGTGTATTTTATTTGTAGCTGCAGAATATTTTATAACATATGGATATAGAACAATTACTTAAAAACTGATGGATAATGAAATCCACTAAAAGATGTAAAATAAAATTGAGGGAGGGTGAGAGGAAAAAACTGTGATGGAAACTTAGGTTGTTTCCAATGTTTTGATACTGCAATTAATAATGATCCTGCATGTAGGCAAGAGTAGACTGCCAATCTCTAAAGGTAGGATTGCTGGGTCCAATCGTGTAGCAGATTCTTCTAACCAGGGAACCCAATAGCAAGAAGGTCCCTTGCAAACAGTATGTCAAACACATTGTCTTTTACATTCAGAGGTGGAAAAATGACTGTGTACTGGGTTTTATTTTTAAGACTTCTTACTGAGCTACAATAGACAGAAAAGTGCACAAATCCTAAGTGCATAATTCAACTAATGATTACGAATGAACACAATGCACCCATGTGATCATACCAGGGCCAAGAAGCAGACATTACCTACACCCAGCAGTCCCCTTCATGCACCTCCCAATCACTACTCCTCTCGGTCCTCTGCAAAGGTAACCACTGTTGTGGCTACTAATTCACAGGTTAATCTTGCCTGTCTTGAACTACAAATAAAAATGGAGTCACAAAATTCTCTCATGACTGGTTTCTTTTGTTCAACATAGTATTTGCAAGCATCACGTATGCTGTATTTAGCTTTAATGTGCTTGTTTCTGCTGCTCTGTAATATCCCATCACATGAATATACTGTACTTTACTACTCTGTTACTGGTTTGGGACTCTTACAAGTAATGTTGTTACGAACAGTCCATATGTGTCTTCTCATACACCCGTGCATACAGGGGTAGGGATGGGGTTTATACGCCTAGGAGATTTCCTGGATCATAAGATATGCATATTCTCTGCCTTGGTGTCAGTGCCAGCTTTCCGAGTGGCTGCAATTTATATGTTATACAAGCCCTGAATTCTCTAAACACTTCCTAATACTTCATTACTCTTTTTAGCCGTATATCAAAATGTACATTAGCATACCTTAGTGTGATTTTAAATTGCATTCCCCTATTTTAATGAGAAGGAATTCCTTTCATATGTATTGAGCATTTAGATATCATCTGTTCTGCAGTGTCTGTTCAAATTTCTGGACCATGTGATATTCTAGCTATGAATCTTTTCAGTCAACTGCAATGTGTTTATGTTTTATTTTTGGTGATTCTGGGGTTCAAACCTAGGGCTTCACACATGCTAGGCATCTCAGTTCCCTCTAACTGTCTTTTGCTGCTCCAGTGGTCCTAATGGTGTTTTTGTCTGTCTCTCTCTCGCTTTCTCTGCAACTGGCCCTCTGGCCTCGATTTTTCTCTTTATTATCGTTATCACTGCATAATTTTAATGTAGTTCCCCTATTTTGAGTTAGATTGAGTATCTCTTCATATATTTAAAATCAATCTATATTTCTTGTTCATAGTCTTTGCTTTCATTCCTTCTGCCTATCAGGGATTCTTAACATGTTAAGGAAAATGGTCCTTGTGATATATAAGTATAAACATATTTTGTCACTTTTTTCTATTTTAGAATGCACCTTTGAAAATATGATTTCCCAAAACTGCAAAAGGGCATGTAGATTCTTTTAAAGACTATTAGGAAAATCTTTAAAATCTAAAGTGGGTGGAAGATGATCTAAAAAGTGGCTTACAACTTAATTTCTATTCACATTTATAGTTGATATCACTCACCATTTTTCTTCTCTTGCCGAATGATATTATGACACTCTGCATGTAAGAACTGTAAGTGATCTGCTACCATTCGTTGTTGACATTCATGAATTACTTTAGTATATGAACTGGGATGCAAATATTTTCGACATCGAATTTCTTCATCTTTTAATCTACCTAGAACCTACAGAAATATATGATCTACTAAGTTTTTCTGTGAGGAAAAGTCAGTAACAGGAGGTAGCCAAATTTTAATGTCTCTATCAAAAAACAGCAAAGGTAATGAACGAGGTTTACATAATCAATTTAAATCACTTCATATTTTTATCTAAGCTACTTGCTACCTGCTACATTCTATCACAGTCTTTTAAATGAGAACTATCTTCAGTTATCAAACCCACCTTCCTTTTATATGGACAACCTAACAGGTAATGGTAAAAGTGAGTAAAGACTATTAAAAAACAGAAAGTTATATGAAGCAGATTATATTAAGTGGATTATTTTACCTTGGTTTCTTTTCTTGTAAATAGAAACAAAAACAGTATATTTATGACTGTTAACTGTCAGAAAAGACATTGTTAGAATTTTCAAAGACAATCAAGACTTTTATTAAAGCTTATCCTATGTAAACAGCACTGTGCTGCAAACAATACACTGGTCAACATTAACAAGAACTAAGTAATAAGTAATTTGACTCATTTCTATGGCAAAACAAAACTATAACATTGTTGTATGGCTCTATAGGCTTTTGCCTAATATTTCACATAAGTGGAACCAGAGTGTTTGTCCTTTTGTCTTATTTCACGTAACAGGTTCAAGGTTCAGCTATGTTGTAGCATGCACCAGTACTTCAAAGTACTTTTAAAAATAGAATAATATTCCATTGCATTGCATATGCTCCTTTCTGCTTATTCTTTCTACTTCTGTTAAGACACCCAGAGCGCCTCCAGCATTTGCCAACGGTTTCTTTGAGAACCAGATTTAACAAAGTGTGTAAGAAAAAGAGACAGTCTGTGTATAATTTTTAGAATTGAATGTAGAGACTTTAGCAAAGGCTTAAAAACAAAAGCAAAGAGCTAAGAACCTCTTGCTTATGTAGCCTGTACTTAATCGATAGGAAAAAGGTCTAGATGATTTACTCAATCTTAGGAGCTAATTAGTGACAAAAACTGGAGGAGAATTGATCAACTCAGACTTCTAGGCCTGGGCTTTGAAGAATAAGTTACAGTATATTAGGAAGCACTGCAGATTCTTCACCTGTGTTCCACTAGGACTACACGACAGCTACTCCACCTACGATATTTTATCTTCTTGATTAAACCACCTATAAAAAGCATCCAATAATAAAATGCTTGAACCATGACACTGCAGATGAAAACCTTGGTTAAAAGTTCTGATGTATCTTCTATGATGGTTAAATTTGTGCTATAAGCTTTTCGTTCTGAGAACATGGACATAGGATTTGAAATATGATAACCAAAATAAGTATCACTTCAGTAATTAAAATTTCTTGTAGAGGTTTTACTCAGCCTTCTAAGAACTTAGCAGACCAAGAGTGACTTATTCAAGTACCTAATATTATTTTATTTACCCTCCATTTTTTTCTTCCACTTTAAAAGACAAAAATCCAAACATCTAGCTCTATACTTATCCTATTTCCTATACAAATTATTAAGCACAAAACCCACTTATTATTTTGCCAAAAATGTACACACATACTAATTTTAGGGATAAGCAAAACAAGCCATTAGGATTAATTTATTTTTTCCTCAAGGAAAATTCTATAGTTAAGAGGAATGACTTATCAATAGATGCTGTTATTGATAATAACATTAACTACAATTCAGAGTTAAAGATAAACAAGACCTTTTCCACCAAAAAGAATTAAGACAACTATGGTAAATAAAATCATGCCAGATAAAATAAATGTTTATGTAACATACTTTATGTCTTACCTTTTCCATATACTGTGAGCAATTTGATTCTTGCAATAAATTCGAAGCTTCTTGTTTGTAATACTCTCCTGTTTCAGTCAGAAAGGGAGACTCAAAGATTTCCTGATAAAACTGAATAAAATTAAAATATTTAATGACAAAAAAATGGGTAAGTAATTTAAGAAATTAAATGTGTTTTAAAAAGAGGATTTTTACCTTTAAGGGAAATTTTTTCTTATACTGTTCAACATGAACAAAGGAGTTAATAACCCCATGGATTACTTTCTGGTTTGGGTCTTCTCCACCACGATCACTAAAACAATATAAACACAAAATGTTCTTGAGAATACAAATATCTATTCATATGCCAACATATGAATGCTTATATAATTGGCCTAACCAAATTAAAAAGCACTTAATAGTCAATACATGCACAGAGCTTGAAAACAATTAATATGTATTACAGTTAATATATATGTTAGAAATCAATTCAACAAATAAAAGATTTGACTACAAAAGAATACTATTACTAAGGTGATATTTCTTTAATTTTAATAAAACAGGTGTGAGCCCACCAAAGGAAGACTTTAATGCTATTGATTAAGAAAACTTGAATTTCACTACTTCCACTATAATGAAGACACCAACAGCCAACATTACACTGAATGCAAGAAAACTGAAAGCTTTCACACTAAAATCTAGAAGAAAACAAAACAAAACAAAAAAAATGACCACTTCCACCATTTTTATTCAACACAGTTTGCAAGTCCTAGCCAGAGTTATCAGGCAAGAGAATGAAATAAAGGACATCAGAAATGAAAGAAAAAAAAAAAGAAGTCATCACATGTCACCATCTGCAGATGACATCATCTTCTATACAGAAAACTCAAAAAAATTCCAGCAAAAAGACTAAAACGAATTCAGCAAATTTGCAGGACATAAAATCAACATATAAAAATTGGGGGTGGGAGGTAAAGGGGTAAAGGAGAGTAATGGAAGGGGTTGAATGGACCAAAGTAAAGTATACTTAGAGCAGGGATACACTGAGAACTCCCCTTGAACATCAACTTAAATATAAATAATGTAAGACAGGACTGTAAAATAGGTACAGTGTGTGGGAGGGGGGTTCTAATGGGAGGGATGAGGGTGAATGAAGGAGATAAAGGTGAGGGTATATGGCAGATGGACTTCATATACAAACCTCTTGCAATTGCTTTAAGTGGGATAGGAAGGAGGTTGAGTGGGGGAGATGATTGGGATGATTTAACCAATGTACAATATAAGCCTAATCGGAATTGTCACCATGAAACACCCCATAACGAATATATCCTAATAAAAAAATTTATAATAAAAAAAAAATCAACATATAGTCAGTAGCACTGTTGTATGCCAATCAAGAAATGAATCCCATTCTACAACAGCTAGGAAGAACTTTAAATACCTAGGAATAACTTTAACCAGAGATGATATATCTCGGCAATGAAAATTATAAAACGCTGATGAAAGAAACTGAAGAGAACACAAAAAAAGTAGAAAGACATCCTATATTCATGGATGGAAGAATTAGTATTAAAAAATGTCCATATCACCCAAAATAGTTTACTGACTCAATGTATCCTAACCAGAATATCAATGGCATTTTTCATATAACTATAAATAAAAATTTTTTTAAAAACAGAAGAGTCAAAGGAGTCTTGAGTAAAATGAACAAAGCTGGGGCAATGTACTACCAGACTTCAAAGCATACTGCAAAGCTATAGCAATCAAAACAGCACGGTATTGTCATTAAACGCAGACACAGACCAATGGAACAGAACAGACAGCCTAGAAATAAACCCACCAATCATTCTATTGAAATAATTTTCCAGAAAGGAACTAAGAACATGATGCCTAGAGTTTTCAATAAGTAGTTCTGGCAATACTGGATAGCTACATGCAGATAAAAAATTAGAACTCTCTCACCAGCTACAGGTATGGCTCAAGTGGTTGAGCAAAAAAACTAAAAATCAAGTAAATGTAAGACCCGACCATGAGACCACTAGAAAACACAGGAAATACTTCGAGACTTTTGATTAAGCAAGAATTTTTAGCTGGAACCTAAAAGCACAGAAAACAAAACCAAAAAGAGATAAACTGGATTGCATCAAAATATTAAGGCATCCGTATAGCAAAGAAATAATCAGCAGAGTGCTGATACAACCTACAGAGTAAGAGAAAATACTTGCAAACTATGCATCTGACAGGGCTCTGATATCCAGAACACCTAAGAACCTAATTAAAAGATGGGCAGTAGATCTAATCACCATTTCTCAAAAGACATAAATAGCCAACAGGTACATGAAAAAATGCTAAGTATCACTAGTCATGAAAACGCATCAAAACCACAGTATCATTTTGCTCAGTAAGAATGACTATTAACAAAAAGACATACTTGTGTTGATCAATACATGAACTTATATTCTTGATAATATTACACAGAACAAAATACACACACAAAGAAATAAGTCAAACTAAGGAAATCCGAATGAAAACTAGATTGTATAAAATGGATTGTGTAAAACAAGAAAGGGCTGGTGAGGATGTAGAGAAAAGGGAACCCTAGCCTCAAACTAGGATAGCTATGATGGAAGTACTCCCTCCCTCCTATGTTTGGGGAGATAAATATGTTTAGCTTAACTTAAACATTCTGCAATGTGTGTATATATAAGAACATTATAAGGTACTGTATCAATCTACATAATTTTATTTATCTCTTTATATGGTCAAAAATAAATTCTAAAAAGAACACTGAATTTCACTGGTCACAAACACTTACTTAGAAGTCTTTGAAATATCAGTCTTTGAATCATAACAAGTGTGCCTACAGTAATTTGATGGTACACATTTCTCAAGGGTACATCCTACATAATGAGTCAGTTACTGAAATGATGAATAGCTGTTTCTCTAAGAGATGTCAGAATTGCTGACTTGCCTTTTATTCAAGAACAAGCATAACTCGCTATTCAGAAATTTAGTGAGACAGTATTAGTATATTCTTTTAAAGTCACGAAGAGATCTAAGGTCATCTCCATTATCAATGTGACATTTTCTAAGTTTCTGTTTACTTGAAGGCACTACTACAATATAAGTCTTAATCACATTAGGGAATATATAAGGCTGGGGATGTAGCTAAAGTAATACAGCACCTGTCGACCAAGTGTGGGGCTGAGTCCAAACTCCAAACCCACAAAATAAGAGAGAGAGTGTGAGAGAAAGCAATGTAGGTGAGTCAGGCAAAGTGGCACACACCAGTAACCTGCACTAGGGAGGGAGAGGTAAGAGGACAGCAGGACAGCCTGGGCTACATTGAGAGACCCTGTTTCAAAAGACTAATAATAAAACACTGGGCAATAATGTCCACAGATGTGCCCCCTGCCTCTGCGTCCCCCTAATCCTCCCGATTCATCGTGAGTTTCTGTCAACGTCTTATGTGCATCTACGTCTATATCTTGATATTACTTCTAAGAACACTGAGTGAGCTCATTTCCTCTGCTCACGACCCACTGGTTCCTTCTTAAGCCCACGTTCATCTGGTGAAATCGTGGTCGAACCCAAGTTGTCTATTTAGAACACATCACTTTGCTGTTTTTGAACTTTGCCTGGAACCAAATGAAATCATTCAAAAATGAGAAATATCTGAATATGTGAAAAATCTGGTTATCTAAATTTTCCTCCTGTCTTTCAAACCCCCTTGTCCCAGCTCAGATGAGGAAAGCCTCTTTCATGCCACTCTTGCCATTTGCTTCTCATCCCAGATGCTCAGGTGATGTGGACCCAAGTAAGGCACTCCAGAGTGAACACGGAATTCCTAGTACATATTAGTGAAATTGTCCTTTCTATAGAACAACACTGAACCCAGAACCTATAAGCCAATGTTATATATGATCTGTAAGATCAACACGTTTTATAGCTATACAAGGACATTATAAATGATATTACTATGAAGTACAAGGATAATGAAAGTAAACAGGGAAATGGTAACTTACAAAATGAGTAATTTAAAGCACTGACTGAAGTGGTCATCAATAAACTCTGGTTTCATCTAACAACAGTGGCCCATGACATGAGCCTGGAGACTTATGTTTGATATTACAAGGACTGGGTAGGAAGTGCCCAGAACAATCAGTGAAAATAACAAAACAATGAAACCAGTCCATGGTGTGAGGATAGGGATCTAATAGGAATATCACTTAACACACCAGTTAAGACCAGGATTCTGTAGTCAGAATGCCCAGGTTGGAGTTCTGGATGCACTAATGGGTCACCTTAAGCAGTAACCACTCAGGATTCACAAGATTTCCTCCTTGTCTGGGTGTGAGAAAGACTAAGCACAATCCAAGAAAGCATAGAGCACCATACCTGGTCCATGACTCAATCACTACTATCTAGTACCTTCAATAGTGATGGGCATTATGAATGTGTTTACAATATATCAGAGGGGAGATTTAAAAAAAAAAAAAAAACTAAGGGATTAAAAAACCCAAAACACTGTGCTTTCTAAGTTGAGGCTTATCCCAGCTACTTAGGGTCAGCTTTGGCAACCGATGAGTGGGGAACCATAAGAGGCATGCGCAGCCAGGATGCACTGTACAGTCACTCTTACTTCTTTTAGCTGTTTAGCTCTACATGTGGAGATTGTTTCAATGACTGTGCTGGTCCGTACACATCAAAGAATGAAAATCACTGACAGGGAAGGCTCTACATGTGGAGATTGTTTCAGTGACTGTCCTGGTCCTTACACATCAAAGAATGGAAATCACTGACAGGGAAGGCTAGGCCTGACTCTCCCATCTGCCCCTCTGAATGAGCCTACTGGCAATGGAGGATGCTGGGTGGGAAGACAGTGACAACCGGAGTAAGACCAAGATGATCCAAGACCTCCTACCAGTTGGAAGATAGGGATTGGTCACAGTGTCAGTTGACAAATCTTACTTTACCTCCCATTCACCCGTATGCTAACAAGAAACAGGGTTTCAGTCTCCTGCTCCCACTCCAAATCTGTGAAGGGATTTGGAGGGAACACTGTGAAGAGTGTTCTTAACACTCTATTGTTATCATTAGCCCTTGGGATTTTGCAGAAATTGGAAACTGATGGAGGATTAGAGAGCATGTAAGCATGAGGTATACTAAATGTACAAGGGAAAGAACTATGACAAGGAGGGGGTAGGACGACAGGGGAGGAAGACAGGCAACAAGTGGTATATATTGAAAGCTATGTGAAGCACAAAGAGTGACAAAAACCAGCTAGGTGATCAGGAGAACTGGCAGATCTCCTCAGCCAAGCAAAGAGCTGCAGTGCTGTCTGTAACCACGATGAAGGGAACAGGGCAGTGCTCCAGGAGCAATGAGAAGCCTCTGCACCTACAGTCTGCTGTAGGGGATGTCTTGCCTGAAACAACTGCTGGCCACAGCACTGGGAAATCATGGGACATTTTCCTCCTCAGACTGGTGAAATCTGTAATATCAGGTATGGTGAGTGGTAGAGAAACAGGTCTTCTCACACCTGCTTAGGAAAGAACAGGTACTTTATGGGGCAAGTTGGCAAAATTGTAAATACACATATTCTATGACCCCAAACGTAGTACACAACAGAAGCAAGAGCTGTATTAGGGGAGAAAATAAAATGAGACAACCATACCAAATATTATGTAGTAGTTTTAGAAAGAACGAGGTAGATTTCTCAAACTATGTCACTGAAGTTTAAAATGTCAATAAGTACAATACATATTATAGAATTAAAAATTCACAAGAAAAGTTTGGAATGATAACAGCAATTGTCTTGTGGAGAGGAAAATGAGAAAATCTGTAATATTCAGTTTCTTAAGAATGTATTTATGTATCACTGTGTATTTAGAACTAAGTTTTCTTACTAAGAAGCTGATAGCAGGTCTGAGGAAGAAAATGTCAAGATCTATCTGGAACACCCTAACATACCAGATAGCAAGACAGTTATCAAAGATGATAAGGGTCATGTCAGACTGGTCCCAAAGAGCCAAAGAGGCAATTTAAGCCATAATAAAGTTAAGACTTACAATGAATAGAAATGTATCATGATACACTTTTTTTTAATGGTAACCTGAGGATGACAGCAAACCAACTCATCTTAAAAATAGGCTAAAGAGGGTCGGCGGAATGGTTCTGAGTTCAAATCCCAATGCCCCCTCCCCCCACCAAAAAAAATAGGTTAAAGAATAATAAAACAAGCAGGGTTGTTCCTATATGGACTTTACCACTGGGTAAGCAAATCACAGATGAGCAGGATGCATTTTTTTGGTATTCAGGTAATAGAGCAAAGTAACAGAATTATAGTGACACAGTTGTACAAACCCCAAAGATCAACTGATGTCAGTAATGAGCGCCAATGGCCACTACATCTGGAAGGTTAAAAATGAGGGTTTGGAGATGCAGGTCAGTGTTAAAGCAAGTGCTGGCATGTGCAAGGAACTGTAAGGAAGGGAGGAAGAGAGAGAGAAATAAATAAAAAAAGTTTGAAAATCAGAAATTATGGAAGAGCACAATATCTCGTGTGTGTGTGTGTGTGTGTGTGTGTATACACACATATATACATACATATGTACATAAAATCTTGCCAGAGGGAACAAACCTGAATGTGATTAAGGCACTGGACCACAGGAAACACAGAGTACAAAGGAACACACTGAACTGTGCTTCATGCATGCAATCTGCAAAATTGAGACAATGGGAAAACCTAAAGATCACAAAGTCAGGATCTGTCAACACATAAATAAGGAGAGAAGGAGAACCTGAGAGTAAAAGACCTAAAAGAGAGTTTGGGGTTTTTTGTTTGTTTGTTTTGCAAAGAGTGTTCCATTAGTCTTGGAACATTCTTTACAAACTACAGAGGCCAGGGATGGTATACTTAAATGAAAAATCATTTTAAAAATAGAAGAAAGTGACTTCCTTAAACATCAGACTACTGGTTATGTTTTGAGAAAGGGTACACAGAGAGGTTGTGGCATGGCCAGAATGGTTCTATTTCTTAGTCTTGATAGTAGTTATAAGGGTCTTCACCTTCAACAATTCATTGTGTTGTATATTTGTGTTACATGGTTTTCTGTACAATAAAAACTGGTATAATGAGAATCTGACAAAACAAGGAAAAAAACCACAAGATAGAACAATAATTAACTATGATGGTAACAACATTGACAGTCAACTAAAGAGCAGAGGCTTTAAAACATTTAGAACAAAAACTAACAGATTATAAGGAAGAAAATCAATATATAAAATAATAGACAGAAAGATTTTTAAACACATTTCCTAAGTTAAGATTTTATTTTTATCTAAGATTATCCTTTTCCTTAATGAAAACTCTAATGCCTTAGCAAACATAAGAAATAGAATGCCAAACATATGGACATGTTTGAGAAAATACAATCAGCCACAGTTATCTATGTTATATCGTTGCAAAATTTTAATTTCTGTTCAAAGAAGGCTAGAAAGTTAATTGTGGAGAATTGGAAAAAAATCTATTGTAAATCCACTGTGCATAACAAAAGCAGTGTTTTTAATACTATCTGTAGGCATAAGGAGTTCCTTTTCATTGTACTTAGTAATATATCCTATGTTTATATTTTCATACATAACACAGTTATGTATCCAATTATTGGTTTGGTTATATTTATTTCTTTGTATGTCACTATAAGCATTAAAAATCATATACTGTAACACTTGAATTCATGAAATTATACTGATTTATTTATTAAAATCATAAACAAGTTTAAGTTGTTACTGTACTGAAAGTTTCCTTTGATACTATAAAAGCTAGGTAAGTTAATGTATAAGTAAAATTACTTTTTTACTTTCCAGTAAAATAAGCACTGAGGAAAAAATATGCAGAAGGTATGGTTCAATTACTACTCTCTCCCCTATGTAAAAAGATTACCCTCTACTTCTGGATTATCAATTAATTTTAGGGTGTACTGTTCATAATGATACCATGCAAAACAAAATCTAACAATTGACTCATGGATTCTCTTAAGTCCATAAAAAAACTACAGCCTCGCTGGGCAAAGTGATGCTCACCTGTTACTGCAGCACTCAGGAGGCCAAGGCAGGAGAATTTGGGGCTACATGAGTGACACTGTATCCTACAATCTGTACTCCACCTTTACAGCTAGCACTTCATGCCCTCCAAGGTATAGGCAGTGAGATGACACTTTCCCATGATTTATTATAGCACTCAGGCTAAGAGGTAATCAAATAACTAGAAGAATATGTTTTCCTAAAGAAACAACCCTCATCAGGATTTAAAGTGAGAAGATAGGAATAAATAGAGCAATGGTCTATTTGTAGGTTTTGGGATTGAAAAGTAATAGTCACTTCCCTCACGTGTTTGTTTATGATGAATAAAGGACAAAGAATTTCCAAATTTTAAAAAAGAACAAAATCATAGGACAACTTTAAAATATTGGCATCAAATAAAACAAGGCTCATTACAATAAAACCAGGCCAAAGTCCAGCCGTTTACAGCTAGCACTTCATGCCCTCCTAGGTATAGGCAGTGAGATGACACTTTCCCATGATTTATTATAGCACTCAGGCTAAGAGGTAATCAAATAACTAGAAGAATATGTTTTCCTAAAGAAACAACCCTCATCAGGATTTAAAGTGAGAAGATAGGAACAAATAGAGCAATGGTCTATTTGTAGGTCTTGGGATTGAAAAGTAATAGTCACTTCCCTCACGTGTTTGTTTATGATGAATAAAGGACAAAGAATTTCCAAATTTTGAAAAAGAACAAAATCATAGGACAACTTTAAAATATTGCCATCAAATAAAACAAGGCTCATTACAATAAAACCAGGCCAAAGTCCAGCCGACAGGCATGCAACTGTGTATTATTTTTAGACTATGTCAAACATCAAAACATAACCAACACAGGACGCTGAAGATCAGAACTCACTTTTTGATTTCTCGGAGCAGCATGCGGATAAGTATGGTCTGAAGGGGTTCAACCATCAATTTCCTCCACATATCCAATGCTAGCTGCCAGGAAAAATGAAAATCAGCAAGGCTGAATTAGGTAGTTTTCTATCATTCGTTCAAGATTTTTTTTATGAAAATAAAAATACCCATCAAAACAAATGTTAATATTTCAAAATTCAAAGGAACACTGAAGGAAAATGAAAAAACTAAGAGGAAAATAAATTTCTAATTTAAAATGCCAATGACCATCATATCGGTCTTACATAAAATACAGAATTCAGGTTTTAGCATTAACTGAAAATCTTACATGAATTGCTGATTTTTATATACTCTTTACTACTTACTAAATGCTCAGCACTATGGACTAGCTATAGAAGCCAAGGCCATAACAGAAACAAAGGCTTTAAATCAGAATACAATAATTTGTGTGTAAGTCAATTTTTTAGATTATGAGATACTTCATACAAACATAAAGGGCTAAGTGGCTTTAAAGAACAAACCCTGTACTCACTACTTAACAAAATAAAAGTTCACCATTACCATGGCTCCAAATATCTCCTCCTTTCCCCATAGAGGTTTGCACTGTCCTGAATTTTGTGTAAAATTAGGCCTTTGCTTATAGCTCTAACACATATGCATGCCCACATAAGTTTGAAATTGCCCGTTTCTGATTGTGATAACAAAATCATATTGTATATTCCTCTATGAGATTTTTTTTAAATCTAAACTTTGCTATTGTTGTTTTTTTTTGTTTTTTCATAGGGTCTCACTGTGTTGCTTGGGCTGGCCTTTAACTTGCTACGACGCCCAGGCTAGTCTCAAATTCTAGATCCTCTACTCTTCGTCCCAAGTGATGGGATTACAGATGCACACCCCCCACCAAATGGCATGTTCTTGAATGAAGCTGAAGCTAGGTATCTTTTTATGTTTATCATCTTGCTTGGGATTTTATTCCCCCTATAAAACATCCACTCATCATTTTGTCAGTTATTCTGTTCAAGTTTGCCTTGTTCTTAAAAAATATAGGAATTTGCTTTGTTTTGGTGGGTCTGGGGTTTGAACGCAAAGCTTTGCACTTTGCAAAGCAGACACTGTACCAATTGAGCCACACCTTCGGGGGGGTGGTGGTGGGGTGGTGGTGGGGGTGGTGGTGGTGTGTGGGTGTGTGTGTGTGTGTGTGTGTACACACATACAAGCTATCGACCAAACTGCTTCTAGTGATTTCTTCTGGGAAGAAGAGTAGGTTCTATGGTGCCGGTGATAAGGGACACCTGAGCAAAAAACTAACTTTACCATCCTAATAAGTAAAAGCAATGGCTATTACGATCGTGGGGACTGGGGATGTAGCTCAGTGGTAGAGTACCTCGCTAGCATGTGCAAGGTCCTGTGTTCGAACCCCAACACCACAAAACAGAAAAACAATTTTGGTATGCCTTACTGATTTTTTTTTCTCTACATCCTTTATCGCTACAGTTTTATTTGTATTAATTATGTATCCAATTTTCTTCAAAATCTATTTTCCCCTTTGTTAAAGTTTCTATTATCAATTTGCTTACTTTTCTAAAAGAATCTTAACTATATATTCTTCCACTGTGTATATCCTTCTATGCATGGTTTCTGTTGCTGGATGTTAAAAAGTTAGATTGGTTACCATTAGTTGCCCTATTAACAATGATTGCAAGGGATACATTTAAACATTTTAAACTTTTTTCTCTTATTATTTTACTTGGTCAAAAGTTATTAGAGAACTGGGGATGTAGCTCAGTGGTAGGGTGCTTGCCTAGCAGGTGTAAGGCCCTGGGTTCCATCCTCAGCACTGCCAAAAACCCCAAAAGTTATTAACATGTAACAGTCTATTGAAAGACACTAATCAAGTTCTTCTAAAAGGAATATTCTAATTTAAGTTTCTAATAATGCTGCAATTTAGCTGTTTATTTCCTTCATTAACACTCATCACAAGTCAACATTAATTTCTTATTTATCTGCTTCCCTTACCTGATCTTACAAGCTTCGTGTGGGCAGGGACCTTCTGTCTGTTCATCATTGTATTCCCCAATGCCTGGCTACTCAATAAAATAAATAAACTTGTACAAGAGTATTTCAAAAAAAATCAGTATAAAATTTTCCACATTGAAATTTGCACTATAACCCAAAAACTTGAATGAATTACTTGAACTAAACATTTCATTGTTTTACTGTGAATAACTTTTTAAGTAACATAATAAGTTTGCTAGACCCATATATTTGTGTTTTCTCTCTTCTAAGCCTCTTTAAGTCTTTGTCTTTTATACTTTTAAACTACAGGAGTCAACATTTTCTAAATAATTTTTGAAGTTTTTTTCCCCACACTGCTGGGATATTAATTCTGTCATCCAACTATTACAAATTTAATTATTAAATTGGTCACATATTTTCTGCTCCTCTGATCTGAAGGTTCCTGAAAACTTTTACATTATTTACTTAACATTTAGGAAGTTTTAATCTTCACCATTTTAAGATAGTCAATTTGATGTCCTAGGGGGAAGGGGGAAGACATTGAATCAAATTACCTCAACACATAAAAAGCCACTTTTGTTTGCAATCACTTCAAAAATGTATTACCTCTCCTATTTCCATAAGTGGTTCATTCATATCTACACCACCATAGCCATACTGAAGGTCAGCTTCAGTCAATTTATTCTTTTTAATAAACTGGGTGTTGAGATACCTGAAAAACAAATGTAGTATTTGTACATCAGTACAAAATCAGTAAGAAAATGTGTAACTTCCCTCTTGGGAAGAATAATTTTAGGTTCATAAATTAACTACAGAAAAGTTCAGTAATAAGCCCAAACAAAGTTATGCAAAAATTAGAAATACAATGAAAAAGATGAATATTCTCCAACTCTTTCTAAAAGGTCTTAAAATATAAGGATAAAATCTTAAGAGTAGAAAGAAATACTATTAATATCAGTCATACTTTAAAAACAAGAATTTTACACCACTGAAATTAATACAAAGACAACAAGTTTCTACTGCACAGATCCACCAACAATTTTGGGAGACAAAGATATAATTCCTGAAATTACCTTTCACGTAGTACATGTAAATGACATCCACAACCATTTGCACAGTTCTACTTCCATATTCACTAACATCCACATTCTGAACTCTTAAGTCCTAGGGCTGTGATGTGCATTTTACATTTTAGTCTAATCTGCTCCTAGGTGACAAAAATATTATTTTTCCTTTCAAGGGCTGATGGAGTGGCTCAAGTGGTAAGAGTGCGTACCTAGCGAGAGTGAGACCAGGAGTTCAAACCCCAGTGTTGCAAAAAGAAAAAAAAGAACCATCAAGATATCATTTATTGCTGGGCATAGTAGTTCATAACTGTAATCTAGCACCCCAGAAGCAGGAAGACTGAGTTCAAAGCCAGCCTAAGCTACATAGCAAGACCCTCTCACTCACCTTTTCCTTCCTCCCTACCTTCTCCCCCCAACCTACAAAAAACTAAAAAATTTAAAATATTTATTTCTTCCCCTTCCCCTCCATTCTCATTTTAATGATTTCCAAAAATACCTTTCACCTGAGGAAAGGGAAAAAGAATGAGGACAACCCCCCCAAAAAAAAACGAGAGACAAAAGTAAAAGATAGAGGATAGCCTTCTAATCTGGAATGCTTGGTCACAGGTATTCTAATGGCTGCCCCATCATTCAGGTCTCAGTTCAAACATACCTCTGAAGGCCCCAATCTAAATTATTCCTACCTTCCCACTCCCAAAAGAATAACTCTCTAATACCAACTATTTTACTCTTGGGCAGTACTTGCTATTATGTAAACCATCCTATACTTTAATTGGTTTAACATTTTTATATACCCACCCCCTCTCTAGAGGGTTTATGAAGCAAGAACAGTAACACACAAATATCAAGTCCTCAAAAAGCCCTTATTACTGAATAAACTAAGTGGTTAACATTTCCGACAGGAGAGAAAAACTAATAGTAGAACATTAACTTAGAAAAGCAGTCTGAAAGCTGGGCCCAAGCCAGGTGCCAGTGGCTCATGCCTGTAATCCCAGCTACTCAGAAGCAGAGATCAGGAGGATAGAGGTTTGAAACTTGCCCCACGCAAAAGTTTGCAAGATCCTATCTTGAAAAAAAACCATCACAAAAAAGAATTGGTGGAGTGGCTCAAGGTGTAGACTCTGAGTTCAATCCCCAGTACTGGAAAAAAAGAAAATATCAGTCTGGAACCAGATCATGAAAGCCATGAATGCCAGGAAGTAAAAGTAACTGTTAACATGTATTTTTATTTGGATCGTATCATGTGTTAGATGCAGCCCTAAGCATTTCACTTGGCCAAACACTACACAGTAGATGTGTAGAACCACTATGATCTTCATTTCCTATAAGAAAACTGCTTCTTGGAGAGATTAAAGAGCTTGCCAAAGGTCAATCTGCCAAACTGCACTGACCACTCTCCTTCCAACAGCTAAGTACTACATGCCAAGTACTGTGCAAGGTGCTGGGAGCAGAAACACCAAAATCATTGTCTGTTCACACAGAGCTTACACATCTGGTAGAATATATAATCAAATATATTTCATCAATGCCATGTGCTCTCTAAGAGGCAACATGAGTCATCTTTACCAGCTGTATTTGCCTTGCTATATGGATTCTTTGCCACAAACCAGTTCTTTTGTAGTCAGTGGAACCATGGCCATCCCAGTAACCCCTCAGGAAACATCAGAATCACTTTGCTCATCCTTCCATTTTGCCTCCATTAACCAGTACATCTTCGTGATCTCCTAAGGTATTATTCATCTTCTCCCATTACTTCCCTTTACCTCCAATTCCATCCTCTTGCCAGTATATTTGTTTGCTGTAACTTTCTATGTTTTATATCTGAGACAGCAAACTACTATTCTCTTTCTCACATGCAATATAATTCAAACTAATGTACATTAATGGTACCTTTCTTTCTTTCTTTTGCAGTACTGGGCCTTGACCTCAGAGCCTCACACTTGCTAGGCAGGTGCTCTACCACTTGATACACTCCAACAGCCCTGTTTTGTGTTGGGTATTTTCGAGAAAGGGTCTTGTGAACTATTTTCCCAGGCTGGCTTTGAACCTTGATCCTCCTGATCTCTGCCTCATGAGTAGCTAGGATTATAGGCATGCGCCACCAGCGCCTGGCAACAGTACATTTCTTATTCCAGATTTCTTCTCTCTACAGTTAAAGCTTACAACAGGTTTTTAAAATAGTCATGATTTAAAATGCCAAACAGTCAAGTCATTTTGACATGGATACCACTGATATTATAATTCACTGTAGTATTTTAAAATCATTTATTAACCACACATTTGTTTACAAAGATATGTGTTCTAAGAAACCATAAAACAAAATAGAATCCTTCTTAAAACACCTCACACTCTACCACAGGCAGTATATAACTGCTCCACTCAAGTATAATATAGTAGTACTTGCTGGCAGAGTGGCACAAATGGTAAAGCACCTGCCTAGCAAGAGTGAGTCCCTGAGTTCAAACCTCAGTGCCATAAAAAATAAAAAAAATAAAAAAGAGAGATAAATATAGTAGTACTTGTTTTCCTGTCAACTGAGTAGTTGATATGCTTTGATTTTTTTTTTCTGCAATATTAACAGTAATACAACTAATAGCAGTAAAAATGACAAGAACTAACAGGGTCCAAGCTGACCTCTAACTCCTGAGCTCAAGTGATCCTCCCATTCTCATCCACCAGAGTAGCTGGAGCTATCAGCACCTGGCTTATAAGGTTTTTTGTTGTTGTTTTGTTTTGTGAGCTTTTTACTTTTTCTTGCAGTGCCAGGGATTGAACTCAGGGCCTTACTCCTGCATGTATGTACTCTACCACTGAGCTGTATTCCAAGCCCAGGAAAATTTGAAGCCTGTAAGAAATCAAGCAGGGCTGCATTGGGTCCCCAGCACTACCAAAAGAAAAAGAAATCAGTCCTTTCAGTCTTATTCTAAAAAAATTTCTTAAAGAGTTTTTCTCGCCAGACACTGGTGGTTCACACATATTATCCTAGCTACTCAAAAGGCAGAGTTCAGGAGGATTAAGGTTCGAGGCCAGCCCAACACAAAAAAGATCTAGTAGAGTGGCTCAAGCAGTACAGTGCTTACCTAGCAAGCATGAGTCCCTGAGTTCAAATCCCAGTATCACCAAAACAAACAAGAAGTTGTTCTCATGCTTATACCTACTGGATTGCAAAAGCCAAGTTTGTTTTCCAGCCTGTATCTTCAATACCCATTTGGCCCAGTCTACAAAAGCATGTAGAGCAACCAGGAAGTGGAGCAAGAGGGTCATTCTTTTCTTTTCATTTAAGATCAAAGTCTCTAAGTCATCTACGCTACATAGTACTCATCATATAAATCAGAGGAGAGACTAGAACTTCCTAAAATATTTAAAAATAATTTGAGCCAAGTGTGGCACTTGTACATGTTTGGGCATCTGTAGTCCCAGCCCCTTGAGAAGAAGAAGCAAGAGGATCGCTTGAGCTGGGGAGTTTGAGACCAGCCTGGGCAACATAGCTAGATCCCACCTCAAATCAAAAAAACTCTTTCAGAAGCACTGAAAATTGTTGAATAATATGGGGTAGGAGGGAATGGGTAAGGAAGAGTAAGAGGGGTTACCTCTAAATATAGAATATTTTATTCAAAACACAATATATTGAAGTATGGTATATCTATCTATATCTATATCTATATCTATATATATAGATATAGATTTTTTTTTTTCTTGGTGGTACTAGGGCTTGAACTCTGGGCCTACATCTTGAGCTACTCCAGCAGTCCTTTTTTGTGATGGGTTTTTTAAAGATAGGGTCCCATGAACTATTTGCCCAGGCTGGCTTTGCACCATCATCTCTGCCTCCTGAGTAGCTAGGATTACAGGCATGAGCTACTGGCACCCAGCAAAAGTACAATATATGTACATGTAAAATACCAAGGCAAAACCCCACTAAACAATGAACAGACACTTAAATAATGACGGACAGGAATGTAAAACAGATCATGTTAAGGGGCGGGCACTAGTGGAAGGGAGAGGGTAAATGAAGAGGGTTAATATGGTTGATACTTTCTATGGATGCATGAATATGGAATATTGAAACTTGTCTGTTATTTTAAGAAGAGGGAAGAGGGAAAATAATTGGAGGGGGTAGATTAATGGAGGAGATGAACCAAACCGAGGTCCATTGCATATGGAAATGTCAGATGTCAGGGCAAACTGGTGATTTGACTGGCTAGGCAGGTGTCCCCTTCCTCCCTCACGGGTACATGTGCATCCCTCCTGAAACAGCACGCTTGGCCAAGGAAGACAACCTTCCCCAATAGGAGAGAACCATTCTTTGGTCAAGGGTAGCTGTGCTCCCCTGCTAGAACTTTCAAAGAAGCTCTCATGTACAGAAATGCCACAATGAAATACCCTGTATAACTATTATATACTAATGAAAATGTTCAAAACTGATTATTTCTCCCTTCACATTTCAGTACATGTGTTTCCTGATAGATTGTGACTAGAAACAAGGCCTGGATAACCAGTTCACCAACCAAGCAAAATACTAGTAAGCAGTTTTCACCTAATTACTGTCAACTCTGCCCTCTGCAAAAAAAGATCTTACCATTATTCCTCCAATACAATCTAATAAATGATTAGTCACAAGATACAAACACAAAGGCCCAACAAAACCCTGTATGAACTGAATCCCATAGGCTATCGGCTCTGTCATTGCTTCAGACAGTGGAATGTTACTACATAATTTTATAAAGTACTCAAATTTACACTTTACAAAAGATAACACAAGAAGTTTTCTAGATAATGAGAACTCAATGGCTGCAAGGCCAGTTTCAGGGACACAATCATTAACAGTCCAAGTGAGAAGTAGAGCTTGAAAGATAACAGCAGTGCAAAGGAAATGGTGAATTTAACAGCTGTTTGGAAGATCTAGCCCAGTAGTGGGTCAGATAGAGAACAAACCTGGTGAAGGGTAACAGACTTGTGGCTCCTGTCTGGGTATATAACACAACCACTTACTAATGCTGGTTAGTTCTAGAGACAAGCCTGTGCAAAAAGATAACACATTCATCTGTGATCTTCTGCACTAGTACAATGTAGCTATGGGATATTCTGAAGGTGTACATAGCTTGCTTTTAAAAACTCTCCTGAAACACAGAACAGCACAGATGGAAATATATTTTAGTGATTATTAATATAGGTGTTAGCTAAAAACCAGTAGTAACAAAGATTGCCCCAGAATAAAGGTAAAAGGATGAACAGAAGAGTGTGTATATAGTAAGACTAAGGTAGAATGAAGTGGATGAGCTCTGAAATCAGACTGATCTGGACTGAAATTCTGCCTCTTACAGAGTGATATTAAGCAATGTTACTACTTCTCCAAGCCTTCATTTTCTCTGCTGTGAAAAATGGAGATACTGCCGGGCACCGGTGGCTCATGCTTGTAATTCTAGCTATCAGGAGGTAGAGATGAGGAGGATCATGGCTCGAGGCCAACCCAGCCAAATGGTTTGTGAGACCCTTTCTCGGAAAACCCTTCACCAAAATAGGAGTAGTGGAGTGGCTCAAGGTGAAGGCCCTGAGTTCAGCCCCAGTATTGAAAAAAAAAAAAAAAAGGAGATACCAACCACACATAATTTTACATACACACTCATTTTATAGATTGCAACATTTACTAAAAGATCAAAACACTAGGGTAACAGTGCTAGTAATTTAAATGGCACAAATTAATTGATTTTGGTAAACAGAAAGGCTGGAAAGCCAAGCAAATTGTGTCCAACAAAACTAACAGACAGAAAACCAGCTTAAATGTTAACTGAAACATATCAGCTAAGGAGAGATACCATGGCATGGTGCATAGGGTAAACACTTTCAAAGTCCCCTATGTATCACAGGCCCATTTGTCCCAGCAACAACAAACACACATGCTCACTCACTCTTGCCCCAACATTCCCCTACAATTTACCTTGGGAATTTTTGTGTGTGCCTATGGTGCTGGAGATGGAATTCAGGACCTCATTTATGCTAGGTAAATGCTCTAACACTGATGTATGCCTCCAGCCCTTAATTGGGAAATCCTTAATTTTCTGATTCCCTCATATTAATGAAGAAATCAAATGTCATAAAGCTTAATGTACAGCAAACACTTTTTTAATGAAAGCCAAACTAACAGTAAACCTATGCTTGACAGTAACAACTGGTTTGTAATTTTATTTCATTTTCGTCTTCTAAAAGTCACTGGGCCACTGAGAAAATAAGCCTGGCTTCTAACACTGGCAACCTAAGAGTGTGTGAACTCCAGTTCTGTTATAAAAACCTAAGGGAAAGATAAGGGAGCAAGATGGAAAACTAGAAATGTCTACTGTTTGAGAAGGGTTAGGAAATACAGAAGACACTATTTTCAGAAGAAGGAAAGAGAGAAATCACTGAAGAGGAAGCATGACAGCAGAAAAGCACAGAGACACAGGCAACAGAGGAAAGCATAAACAGTTTAAAACCCATTCCTGGCACCCCAGGAAGAGAAGCAACACTGAAAAGCAATCGAAGGTGAGACAGCCAGACCTGGTGACAGATGACAATCCTAGCTCAGAATAGTCCCATACCTCCTGCTAGCTTTAAACCCAGTGTGGGGATTTAGAGTGACTCTGCTCCAGTGTGGAAGGCTAGCCTAAGTGAAGAAAGAAATTCTGTTGCTCCTCTTATCTCAGAGGGTGATGGCAAGGCACCATCTTGAGAGAGGGCCTATTGTCTGAGACACAGATATGCTGGGAGCCTGAAAACAAGGAGCACTCACAGCTCAGGGAGCCCTGGGACAGCCTGCCAGTTCCGGGTGGGAAATGGTGATGAGAAGTGGCCATGGAGAGGGTCTGAATGGTCCTAGAGAAAGCAAAAGCAGCTGGACGCTCAGCAGAAAAGACGGGTTGGTCAGAGGCCCTGCCCTCCCTAGCAAGGAGTCCCATACCTTGAGGCTCAGGTGGAAACAAAGCACCTAGCCTATGGCTGCCTTAGCATTTAGCCACCAGGGTCTGCCTCCTGGCTGTTTGTTGGCTGCTAGGTAGAGCAGAGGACTAAGCACAGACCCTCTATATTACATGAGATCAATGGCCTCCTGCCTCACACAGGGAGGCGAACATTCAGGCAGGGCATTCCAGCATGTGTTTGCTGCTAGGTGGGTTAAGGAACCTCTAGTCCAGGCCTACTAAATCACATGACTTCCACAACCTCCTCCCCCAGGGAGGTTAACTGCTGTAAGCACTGAGCCCAGCAGGCAAAGTGAATCGTTCCCTCAGTTCTTCCCTAGCCAGGGTAAAACTTAGTGCTCCCCCACTCTGATGTACTGCAGAGGGCAGAGGGTAACCCTGCGGCTTGAATGCTTACCTTGGGGCAGGCTGGGTTAGGGACAGTCTGGGACTGCTCCCCCTTTTGGCTCAAGGGGGAGCCACAGGCTAGAGGAGCCAGGTGGAGACATTATGTCCCCCCACCTTCAAGTTCAAGGTGGTATAAAAACAACATACCAAGAGACTCTGGCCATTCTTCTTCTTCCCTTACCTCACCTGGAAGAACAATAAAGCTACTCTACCTCACCCCATCCACGTGTTCTGTTTGGATTCTTACATTTGGAATGCAAGGACTAAGATCTTCTGAAAACACCATTTGCTGATAACAAATGCAGGCAATACTGCTTGGAATGTTAAGATTCTAAAGTATACTTACCTATACAAGCAGTCAATTTAGATTAAGCTACTGCTGCTTCTTTCTGGTCTTACGCTTCTATCGCCAAAGCCCTGGCGGCGGTTCCGTGCCGATATACCGTTTTTAATGTGTTGTGATCTGTAGTAGTTGTCGGCCATCACGTAAACGTTGGCTGTGTGCGGACGGGGACTGCAGATGTGGTCGTGGCAAGGCTGATCTTGTTCTTTGCGGTCGGCATAAGCGCAGTGCTACGAACTGATTTGCTAAGCCGGACATGCGTCCGAGACCGCCCAGCCTCCTGTCAACTTAGCCTTGGCCAGGCCAGCTAAGTTCTCTGGACTCATATCCTCGCCACCAGTCACTATAGCATCTTTAGGCATACTTCGGGAGCCCAAGTCCGGTGCGGGCCAATAGTCTGCACCGGGCTCTGTGTATTCTTCCCAATACCTATGATACATGACAAGGACTTGTTCTTCAGACTCCAGAACTCTCTATATAAAAAGAAATAGGTTAGGGAGAGGAGGAAATAAAAGAGAATGATGGAGGGGGTGAATCCAAGTATGATATACTTAATACATTGTAAGAATTTTTGTAAATGCCAAAGTACCCCCACCCAGCACAACAGAACAGTTAAGATTACACACAAACACACACACACACAAAGATTTCTTTGTGTGTTAATCAGAAATCACTAAACATCCATCATAAGCCTTGAAATTTTTCTATAATTATATAGAAATATATAGAATTATTATAATTCTACTACTCAAATTATAAATGAAACTGGGGGGAAATGTGAGCCTTAAATATGACAGTGAAGCATCCATACTAGTGAACAGACTGTCATTCTCCAAGATTAAAGGACAAAATGTAATGGTTTTTTTTAGACAGTCTCTCCCTGTATAGTGCAGGATGGCCTAGAGCTCACAGTCCTCCTGCTTTAGAGTGCTGGAATTAGAAGTGTGCCACCCCATGCCTGGCTGCCCCAGTGACTTGATTAGATTTTGCTTTTTTTTTTTTTTTTTTGGTGGTACTGGAGTTTGAACTCAGGGCTTACACCTTGAGCCACTCCATCAGTCCTCTTTTTGTGATGGGTTTTTTTTTTTTTGGTTTAAAATAGAACATAATTCTATTACCAGAAATATATGTTTCTTCAAATCTATCATGTTTGATCAGCCTGCTAGCTAAAAGTAATCATCACCTCACTTTTGTGAATAAGATTATTTATGGAAATTAATACTTTCCCATTCCCCAAAGTAAGTCTTATATTTAATTAATATAAAAATTAAAATCAAACTGCAATCTTAGGAGTACTGCTAAAGAATTTATTTGTAAAGGGAATTTAACAATAAAAACACATACACAGGCAACCTTATGATTCTCTGATCAATTCTTTCATTAGTTATCCACATGACATTAATCAAAGCATGATTTCAATTTTTATCTAATTAATTCTCTGATAAATGTTATGCTTTTAAACTCAGAATTTTAACAATTAAGGCTTAGGATGGTAAAAATATCCTGTAAATAGCACCTTTTGTCTATCAAGTTGGTGAGTTAAAAATAGGACTACTTCTAATAATGTTGAGGAATATAATACCCTTATGAACTGCTGCTGCTGGCTGGATAAAATACATTTCTGGAGAACAATCTGTTAATAGTCAAAAACAAAAGAACATGTTTCAGAGCTGGTGCAATAGCTCAAATGGTAGAGTGCCTACCTTGCAAGAATTCCAGGTCTAGGAATTTATCCTATAAAATCACTGGGGAAGCCAGGCACCAGTGGGCTCACACCTATAATCCTAGCTACTCAGGAGGCAGAGATCAGGAGGATTACAGTTTGAAGCCAGCCCAGGCAAATAGATCAGGATCCTTTACTTTGAAAAAAACCATCACAAAAGAAGGACTGATAGAGTGGCTCGAGGTGTAAGCCCTGAGTTCAAACTCCAGTACCACAAAAAAATGAAGTAAAATCCAATCAAATCATGGGGCATGGGGCTGCACACTTGTCAGCATTCTGAAGCAAGAGGACAGTGAGATCTAGACAGCCTGCACTATGCAGGAAGACAACTGTCTAAAAAAAAAAAAAACAAAAACAAAAAAACCAGACATGGTGGTATGCACCTATAATATCAGCATTCGAGAAGCTGGAGGTAAGAGCATCCAGAGTTTGAAGCCAGCCTGAGCTACATATTGAGACCTGGTCTCAAAACAACAAAAAGGCAAAAAACAAAAGCCATGAAGATGGAGTGTAAGGGGTGCTTAACATGTGCAAAGCCTTTAGTTTGATCCCTTAGTGCCCCCTCAAAAATGGTCACACAATAGTACTTTAGTGCAAGGATGTTCACAAAAGTATTGTTTATAATAAAAATTATATAAGTTGGAAACAATCTATCCAGCAATGTGGGAGGTATTTAAACAAATCACAGCATGTCCATACAATGAAACATTTTACAAATAATTGCCAGGTTACAAAGTATAATTAATAACAAAGGAAGAGATTTACAATGGTATTAAAAGCAAAAAGCAGACTATAAGAATGAGTAGTTACTAAATTATTTGTCTTTATTTTTCTTTTTAAAGACAAGTGTCGCCAATGCATCCCAGAGTGGTCTCAAACTCCAGATCCTCCTGCCTCAGCCTCCCAAGTGCTGGGATTATAGATAAATATGCCACCATGCCTGGCATATAACTTCATTTTCAAAGCAAAAATGCAAAAATAAAGCAAAATTTTCATATTAATATTATACCAAAAGAGATACTTTAGTACAGCATATCAAAAAAATTAACAGTAGTTAATTCTGAAGGTATGGTATGGGTGATGTTTATTTTCTTCTTTTTGCTAACCTATATGTTCTAAATTATCTTTACTGTTAATACAATACTTGGATAATAAAAAAAAAGTACCTTCTTTCATGTAAATTAATGTTTCTTTCCCCAGGTGAAATTGCTTCAATTCTGTTGGCTATGTAACGATTTACTTTTGTCATATACACATCAATGAACTATTTTGTCTCAAAGTCTGAGAGAACACAGGGTATACAACCTATAAATATTATAAACTGCCATGAAACCACACCACAATATCATTTTTTAAATCACAAAGAGCTGGGGTTTGGCTCAAGTGGTACCAAGCATAAAGCTCTGAATTCAACCCCCAGTACTGAAAAAAAAAAAGTTATATAAATGTTAACTTATGTTTAACAACTGTATCATTGTTACACAAAATGTTAACATTAAGAAGCTAGATTTAAAAACACACCAGAATGCTGGGTGAGATGGTGCATGCCTGTAATCTCAGCACTCAGGAGACTGAGGCAGGAGGACCACATGTTCAGGAGTCAACAATACATAGCAAGACCTTATCTCTAAAAGAAAAAGTACTTGAGCCGTCTCTATATTGTGTTTTGTTTTTTTTTCTGTAAGTCTAAATTAAAAAAAAAATCACAACCTGATCTAAAACACAAAATTGCAAAAGTTACAGTGTCTTACATAATTATCAATAACCAAGTATCACTGGCTTACAATAACAGAACAACTTCACATATTAAACATTAAGACCACTTTAGGATAGTTGCTATCAAAACCACTTTTCATGAGTGCATAAATGCTCACACAAGAGCTGTGAGATGCTCATGTCATATACAATAAATATGTAATTTCCTTCAAACATTAATACCATATCACAACTGGTTTAGTTGCTCAAGTCCATCTAACTAGTAAGTGAAGGAGTAGTCAACTCAAGGCTCATTCAATTAAAATGAGCTCCTCTGTCCTCTGGATGGTGTTCATACAACTGAATTTTCCCTCAGTCTTAACTTCCATCTCTTGACATGTCTCTATCTCTACTATTTTCAACCTTTTGTCTGCCTCTCCACATCCTAAAGTCTTCCAGAAACCTGGAATTTAAAAAGGAGATTTAAATCATGCCTATTTATGAGTTGTTTCCATTCTAAAAGCTGTGAGCTACTTTATAGAGTCTGTGCTGTTTCATTGCTATTTTACAAATAAGTCAATAACCATACAGTAATCATTAAGTGAGTTGCCATGGCTATCACAACACTAATAAAAGGTAGAGTTGAGATTCCAGCCCAGGCAATAAATTATGTCCTCTGGTCCCTGATAAGATCAGTTGTCCAAGGTGTGCAGTCTGTAGCACACCTGAAAAATGCTTCATTTATACACAGATCAAGTCCATGGTGTTGCTCTCCTACACATGGCATGCTAATCAAAATACAGGTCAGAGATAACTTTTCACCATCCTTTTTAATTTGCCATGTCCTTTTAACTTTCACATTTTTGGAAGACTTTAAATTATGATGAAGCAGCAGCCAAAATATTAAAAATATTAAAGATAAATATGTACCAAGAGGTAAAAATTAAAAGGGAAAAACTTACTTATATAAACACCATCCAGGACAAAGGAACTCCTTTGAATAGAATTAACCTTGATTAGACTCTGCTCCTATACTTACTCATTAAAGGATCTTGAGCCACTAAACTGATTTCCCTTGGAGAAACTAGTAACATAGTGCTTAACTCATCTTAAATATATACAGCAAGAAAACTGTTGAAGAAATAAGATGAAAAATCTGAATTTGAATCAAGTTCTGCATTGGAGAAGTGAGATGGCAGAAATAACTATGCGTTATAGATATATTTATATCACACATACACCATTCCTTACCTTGTGCAAATGTCGAACGTGATTTTCCAAAAAAATCTTTGTTTCTGTATAAAGTCTTTCTCCAAGCGGTTCAGGATAGGCCACACATAAAGCATAGATATCTCTAGTACAATTATTAAGGTTTCACATTCATTTTAAACTATGAGGCAACTCAAGTTTGGCATTAAAAAATGAAAAATCCAACTGCTAAGCAGTTGCCGACCACTTAAGCCATATTCCCAGCCTTTATGCTTTTAGTTATTTGAGATTAGGGTCTCACTTTTTTGCCTAAGCCCACCTGGACCTTGATCCTCTTTATTTATGCTTCCTACATAACTGGGATGACGAGCATGTGCCACTATACCCAACTACAGGTTGAGATGGGGCCACAAAAACTTTTTGCCCAGGATGACTTCAAACCAAAATCTACCAGATCTCTGCCCCTGAGTAGCTAGGATTACAAATGCAAGCCACTACACCTGGCTTTATTTTGTTTTCTGAGATAGGATCTCACTAACTTTTGCACAACGCAGCTTTGAACTTTGGATCCTCCCACCTTGACCTCCCAAGCAGCTGGGATCACAGCCACACACTACTACATCCAGCTCAGAAATTTTCCTTCTAATACTTGGACAGACTGTCAAGGACAGAGATTTTTCAATCCACCCAAACTGGTCTCTGATCAAAGATGATGCCTGGCGTGATGTCCTTGATGGGAACAAAGACAACAGTAAGTTTGGTTTTAAATCTTGGAAGGATGAACTCGTTTTCCTATCTGGCATAAATATACTGAGGGAACGCAATCTTCCATCTCTCCTAGAGTAATCACTTTAGATTGATATTCAACAGTTTAGAATCTAATTTTTCCTTAGGTAGGAAAGCACCTATATTATATTGCAGGGGCTCAGCAATCTGTCCTAACACCTACTAAAGTCAGAAAAGCTCCAGTAAAAGGAAATGAAAACACTGCCAAACAATTCCAACCAAGTCGAATACTAACTGTAAACCTCTAGCCCATTGCTATCTTATACACAAACCATCCCAGAGACTACACCTATGCTGTCATAAAGATTCTGTTGTGAAGAACCATCATTACTTATAGGAGGTGGAATTCTAAAACTGGTCTCCCAAGCTTTCCCAGGCTAACACCTGGGCCAATGACTGAATTGTGCCCATGCACACTGCTTTACACAGCAATAGGGACTTAGCTGAAATTATGATTACTAATCAGCTGACCCTAACATAAAAAGATTGTCCTGGACTTTTGGAGTGAGTCTAATCTAATCTAATCAGATGAGCCCTTTGTGTGTGTGTGTGTGTGTGTTGTGTGTGTGTGTGTGTGTGTGTGTGTGTGTGTGTGTGTGTGTGTGTGTGTACATACATATATATATATTTTTTTTTTTGGTGGTACTGGGGTTTGAACACAAGGCTTTAAAGCTTTGTGTTTGCTAGGTGAGTCCCTCCTGCAGTCCTTTTTTACTTTAGTTATTCTTCAGGCAGGGTCTCCCACTTTTTTCCCCCTACGCTGGCCTCAGATGGTGATCCTCCTATCTATGCCACCTGCATAACTGGGATTACAGCTATGCACTACCACATCCAACTTGTTGTCTGAGATGAGAGTCTCACCAACTTTTTTTCCAGGCTGGACTAAAACCACGATCCTCCAATCTCTGCCTCCAGAGTAGCTAGGCTTACAGGAATCAGCCACCACACCTAACCAACATGAGCCCTTTAAAAGCAGACCCTAGCCCAGTCACACCTACACTCCAACTAGAGACACAAGGGGATGTCAGAGTCAAAGCATCAAAAGATGTGACATGCTACTGCAGGCTCTGAAGATAGAGGGGCCATACACAGAACATGGAACATGACACAAGCCAACACTGGGACCTTAGTCCTGCTACTCCAAGGAAGAAAATTCTCCCAATAGCAGGAAGGAGTGGAGACAAGGACCCTGAGCTCTGCCAAGTCTCCATATCCACCATATGAGACCCAGGTGGAGAGTACAGTTGTGTCATGGTCTTCTGAGTATTTCTCTATACCACTAAATGGGTGGTAATTTACTGTACATAGAAAACATCGGTGTCTTATGTATAAATTACTCAGTCAGAATATCTTGCATATATACCTTGATCCAGTTATGAAGGATCAGTGTTATTAACTAGACTCACATTCATGTTATCTGTTTGATCTGTACAGTCTGCTTAATGAAATTTAGTTAAGAGAATCTATTCATTTAACAAATATTTGCTAGGTATCTACATATACCACTCAAATAACCACAGTGAACAATGCTCTAGGTTCATTCCAAAGCACCAAAACCACACACACACGACAAGATTCTCTGTCCTCGTGGAGTTGCTATATAGTAAAAGTTGCAGGCATGGTCAATATGTACAAACACATGTGGAACACTTCAATGAGACCATGCTTCCTTAAGACCCATGTCAAGAGGACAAAAAGACAGGCATTTATACTACAACTCTACAGTCTCAGTAAGGCATCTTATCCATCAAGTCACATTATTCTCAACTGTAAGTTGGAATTAATAATGCAACTCACAAGATCATTCATAACGAAAATCTCCCACATGTTAACAGAAAAAATGACTGACACAAAATACAGACTATCCATGTATCTCTCAATGAACTTTTGACATGTGTTATAGTCATACCAAAAAAAAAATCCTTTTTGAAATATCAAATACTAATATACATTGGGGTTTTCACTTTTCCTTTTCAAAATATTAAAGTTTTACAGTCTCTAAAATTGCTACTTAAGATATCTGAGGGTCATAAGTAAGCCTTACATTCTCAAGAAAAGTAAGAGACAGGAGGGAACTTCAAAACAATTTAGAAATAGAGCCCTTTAGTTTCTAAATCAAAATATTAAATTATAAGTTTCTATTTTTATATTTTTGCAGCTATCTTTTATTTCAGAAAAAAGAAAAATTCATGATTAGGTCAAGAATAGACCATTTTTAGTGGATGAAACAATAAACATCTTAGAAGTAACAGCAACTGGAAAGGATCACTTTCCAGTAAAGTCATCTATTTAAAAACTATTTGCAAAACAACCAACTAACTGTATATTCTGTACATCAATCAAGAACAAATTTAATTATTATCTTTCTTTTTAGCAAGGTTCCTGCCCCAGGTCCCAGCACTAGAGAGGCAAAGGCAGAAGCGTTGCCAGTTCAAGGCTAATCTGTGCTACAGAATGAGAACTCATCTAAAAAAAAAAAAAACTAAGAGTATAAAAACAAAATGATCCTTGTTCCAAAATCAATCCATAATGTTCGATGTGCCACCTGGCAAGGGCCCACCCACTACTTTCCTGGCAGTGCTTTTTTTCTTTTCTTTTTCCTTACTATTTCTTTTCTTTTCTTACAATAAAGTTTTGCTACTGTTCTACAAAAGAAAAGAAAAATTAGCTAAGAGATGAATTCAGTAATAAGCTCTTCAAAGGCAGAATTCATATGGATTATCCTCTAGAAATACTGCAAAGCAAAGGGAACAGGATATTAAAACTGTGTTTTCATGGAGCCTCTTTGCTTCCACCTGCAAGTCAGGCAGGAGGTCTCCTCCTTCCCTTTCTGTTTCTCCCTACTTTGTCCTGCTTTGTTATAAATATTTGCTGGCCTTCGAAAAAAAAAAATCTTGTATTCAAGTCTGGTGCTCCATGAATTACTACTTGTGTTACGCTAGGCAAGTTGCTTTACTTCTACTATCAGTTTCCTCATCACTTACGTAAAGACAATAATTACATTTGCCCCACTGAACTAACAGTCCTGTAACGAGGTGTCAAATGACATAACACATATAGATCTTTGCAAATTACAAAGCATTCCAGAAACATCAGAATCATTTTATCTCTCTTTAATGCCCAGAATGTAGAAAGTCTAGTAAATATTCTGCACTGACAATTGCAATTTATAGTAAATTAAATGGCTTCTGGTCCAGGCCATAGCACTCTGAATGCACCTGATCGTCTAAATGGCTTCTTGTTGCTCCAAAAGAACTTCACTTTTTTGGAAGGAGAGAGGAGGGGATGAAGAGAGTGGTTTGAGACAAAAATCTTGTTATAGCCCAAACTAGCCTGGGACTCACCATCCTCCTGCTTCTACCCGCAAAGAACGTCACTATTGTTCCACCAACATTCAGCTTAACTTTAACAGAATTGGCCAGTGCTAACAAGCTGAATGGCTGTCTGATGAGATCAGCTCTCCACATAACAAGGGCAATGCTTCTTGAAAGTCCCAGAAGACTACTAAGGAGTTATGTCCAGCAGACTGTGGTGATGTAAAAATGCAAGATACCAGGTTTCAGAGCAACCTAGGCATACCACAAATCTGCATTTATATAAAACTCCCCAAACACATTTCCATCTCAGTCATCAAACTTGCCATTTACTCTTTGCCTAGAATACTTCTAGGATTTAGAAAATGTCCTTCAAAGACCCATGTGTTAAAGGCATGTTGACCATCCTATAGCACTACTGGGGGATGGTGGAACCTTTAAGAGGTGAGGTCTGGTGGGAGGAAGGCAGGTCACTGGGGCTGTACCTCAAAGGAGATATTGGCACCCTGCCTCCTTCCTTCTTTGCTTTCCAGCTGCCACAATGAGAGCAGCTTTCTCTGCTACATGCTCTCCGTATAATGCACTGCCTTGCCACAGGCCCAAAGGCTATGAGGCCAAGTGACCACGGACTGAAACAATCTCTGAAATCATGAGCCAAAATAAACCTTTCCTCCTTATAAGTTGGTTATCTCAGTATTAGAAAGTGGACACTCTTTGCCCAGGTATCTGTGTGGCTTGCTCACTTACTCTGTCACACGCTGCCCAAGTTTCACATCTCTAGGGAGTCGTTCCTTGACCACCCTCTCTAAATGGAGCCGCGTGCACACATGCACTCCAAGCCTTCTCCATGTCCTTACCCTTCTCTACTTTACGCCACAACATTTATCACTGCCCGTTATCACAAGCAGTGGATTCGAATTTTTACTTGTTTATTGTCTGTTTCCCTTTTTATAATGGAGAGGAATCTGATAGCGTCTGACAAATACACTAAGTGCTCAGTAAGTATTTGTTGAAGGAAAAATTATGAAATATTGATTGCCACAAAAGTGGTGAACTTGGAACTGTAAACAATATATTTGACAATAGTTTCCCTGGGTGTTTTCCCACTTGAATAAGCATAAACTTGTTTTCACTTTTCAGCAAATCTGCCACTGAAAGGATACGAGAAGCGATCGTTCCACGTTGCTCTCTCAACATACTCCAACATGACAACTGCTTTGATTGTAGTTAGGAGTTTGTTCCATGTCTCATCAAAATCTACTACTCTTGGTTTTAATGACATTGTGCAAGCTTAGTGTTGAAACCTGTTAACTAAGAACAATAATTATGTTAGCATGAATTCCAAACACTGGGTTATCTGTTTTTAAAGCACTGCATAATCAAACAGCATCATGTGTGAAAGGAGTGAAAACAGTATCTGGAACACAATGTTACTACCATCTTTTCATGAACACTTTGTCTAAATAATTTATAAACTGATAGACAGATAAACCTCATTTAGTATGTTAAGGAAAACAAGTTGGGACCCAGTTAACCAAAAAGTCAACTCCCACTGACAAAAATGCACAGGAAACATTCACTGTAAAAGTTTTAGCCACAAATCCTGTGGTTTGCACTCCTTAAACTGGGAAATGATTTGCATGCAAAGAAAAATGAGAAGGCACAAGAAAATGAAAGGCTTTGTCTTCCTGGGACATCAGTTTTGGTTTATATTAAAACAAGAGGGAGGAATTGTAGAGAAGACTGCAAAATTCACATCAACTCTGAAGATAAAAACTTGAAGATTTTAAAGAAATGGCAAGTTGGCAGCAGAAAGCTTAAGCCTCCTCAGTCTCAAGGTGTGTGGTTCCTACTGCTCTAGCAAAACCCACACACACCTCACCCCACCTCACTACCACTCAGGGGAGTTGATGGGCCTGTAGGGGCGCTAGAAGACCCCTTTGCCTAGCAAACAAGTCACATTTAGGAATTACCTGGTTTCTGTAACAAAAGGGTTCCCAAAGGTTATAAAATACTGGTTCAAGGAGATTCTAAGCTTTTGTCAGCATCACTCTTCCAAGTTAAATTTAATTACACAAGGAAAGGACTTTCTGCAAAGTTTTCTGTTGCTTCTAGGACTATGAAGTGCAAAGCCAAGCAAAAATGAAACATCTTTTCTCTTGACTCCTACCAAGGAGAAAAAAAGAGGTAGAGAAATAATGGAAAGGAGGATAACACATACAAAGAGAAAAAGAGACCAGAGGAAGAGGCCAGCTATGCACTCTTCTGGCCACAACCTGGAGGCCCTTTTTACATGTGTTCTAGAAAGAAACTCATTCTTGGAGTCCAGGAAAAGACTCCATGGAAAAGGACTGAGAGAAAAGCCAAATATTCAAAAAGTATCAACAAAATACCAAAAGACTCCATTCACTCCTGGCCTCAAACTCATTCCTGTACTACGGAGAATGGACCCATAGTGATTTCACCATGTTGGGGTAAGAAGTGAGAGAACCTATCAAGTTTTCTCAGCTCTAAATTGTGGAATTAACCTTAATTCCCTTTCTCCCTTACTTAGCACATCCTCCCCAACTACGGTGCTTCTGATTATGCCCTGAATCCATCCATCCCTGTGTCATCTACAAATGCTCAGTGCTCAGGGCCACACCAGACATAATACCAGTAGTTAATATTTACATAGTGATTATTGTGAGCCACACAAGATCTGAAGTGTACTGTGTAAACTCAAATCTACCAACAATTGACAAGTAGATCCTGCTGCTCTTCCCTATCTTTTGGAATAAGTTTTCTTATCTTTCATGGAGATTGAAAAACTACGACATGACACAGAGCTTTGCTGGAGCCTAGGCTCAACGCTTATACTGCCTTATACCCATTTTCATGACTACCTACCCTCTGCCTTTATTGTTTTTCTCTACCTAAGATGCTCCTTTTTTCCTTACAATTCCCCTCCACCCATTCACCCAACCTCTACTTATATAGAGCCTTGGTTCACATCCGTCTGCCCTTTTTTTGGCATTTTTAATGAGTTTGAATTCAATGTCTCATGCTTGCTAAGCAGGCACTCTACCACTTGGGTCATACCCAGGCCCATCCATCTGCTTTTAAGAAACTTACTTGGACTCATGTAAATTACCTAAGGTGTCCTGTTTTATGTATTAAGATGTGGTCCCTAGTAAGGCACAAAAATGAAGAATTAGACTCATACACAGCCATATACTCCATTATATATTTCAGTCAAAAGCAGGCTGAAAATACAATAGGGTCCCTATGATTATACTGTCATGTTGTCTAGTGTTTGAGAATAGGAACTTTTTTTGGTATGCAAACAGCTGCCAATGTTTTCTTCATATTCATTTTCTTGCCGTATAAAAGTGGGATATTATATACTATGCTTAGGAATTATTATAATGATGGCACAGTCTGCCATTATCATTATAGAATCTGACACCTACTTCCCTAAACCCAATGGAAATATGGTAGAATAGGTATAAATGCAATGGTAATCCATGCTTGTGGAAGGGAAGGGGAGGAGTGTGGAAAAGCCGGAAGCCAAGGCCAGAGAAGCACAAGCCTATGAAACACATCTAGTGACACCAAACACTGATAAACCAATAGCAGAAAGCATTTAAAAGCTGGGTGCTCACGCCTGCAATCCTATCTATTCAGGAGACAGAGATCAGAAGCATCGCAGTTCAAAGCCAGCCTAGGCAAAATCTTTTGTTCACAATCCCTATCTTAATAAAAACACATCACAAAAAAGGTCTGGCTACAGAGTGGCTTAAGTGGTAAGAGTACCTGCCTAGCAACATGAGTCCCTGAGTTCAAACCCCCCAGGCCACCAAAAAAAATATATATCCAAGAGACAGGAAAACATATTCACATAATAACTGTTACAAAATGTTACCAATATTATTCCTTAAGGCCAAAAGGGTAATTGCTATGCAGTATGTGCATACAATGGATTATTCAGCAAAACAGTACTAATACACACTACAACACAGATGAAGCTCAAAATATACTGGCTGGAACAACAGATCAGTGGTACAAGTGCAAGTCTGACGCCCTGGGTTCCATCCTTAGAACCATGACCATACATGCACACAAAGCCATAGTAAGTGAATGAAAGTCACAAAAGACAACATATTGACTAATCCCATTTATTAGAATGGAGAATAGGAAACTCTACATACAGAAAATAAATTAGTGATTAACCCCCAAAACTTGACACTCTATTGAAAAATAAAGGAAAAAAGGAATGAGGGTGTGCCTCAAGTTGTAGTTTGTCTAGCAAGCTTGAGGCCCTGAGTTCAAACACCAGCACTGAAGAAAAAAAGAAAACAACAAAAACTTAAAAACAAAAATCATACTAATATAAGTGATATGGTCACTTGTCTATGTATTTTACAAAATAAGAATGAGAGAAGGTAATTTTCAAAGAAAAAAATCCTAGACTAAGTAGACAATGTAAGTTTTCCAATTAAAAAGACCTACAGAATAGCTAGCATATTTGACTTCTAAAAATCAATAACACTTTTATGTTATTTTTATATATAAATATCCCAAGTTTCCAGAAGAGAAAAACAAATTGGAAAGCCTTTAGATTTATCAGTAGCAAAATTTGTATCAATGTCACCAAAACTCTTAGGGACAATCACCCAGAATCTCCAGCAAGAGTAATGTTAACTTAACACTACTTAACACTGTTTTTCTCAGGAAATTCCCTGGAGGATCCTCCGTCAGGAGGGAATCAGTGGGGATCCCAGATACAGAGCATCTAACACAGGAATTCTGAACAGGAATTTTTCAGGACACCAGGCATGATTTGTTGTTGTTTTCTTTTGTGCTTTGTGTTTTTCTTTTATTTTGATTTTTTTCTTTTTTGCAGTACTGAGGTTTTAACTCAGGGCCTACACCTTGAGCTACTCAACCAGCCCTTTCTTTGTGATGGGTATATTTGAGACAGGCTCTTGCGAACTATTTGCCCAGGCTGGCTTCAAACTGCAATCCTCCTGATCTCTGCCTCCTGAGTTGCTAGGATTACAGGTGTGAGTCACCAGCACCCAGCACATTGTTTTTCTTGAGACTGTCTCCTGTATAGACCAGGTTGGCATTGAATTCAGGGTCCGCCTTGCCTCAACTTCCAGTATTGGGATTAAAGGCTTGTAGTACTATGCTGGGCCTTACTAATCCTTTTTTTTATGTATTTTACTTATTTATCCTTTTGGCAGTACTGGGGTTTGAACTCAGGGCCTCATGCCTGCTAGGCAGGCACTACAACACTTGAGACATTCACTCACCCTGTCTCTTATGTTGGGCATTTTACTAATCATTCTTTCTTAATTCCTCGCTTCTCTCCTCTACAAATCAATCTACTCAATAAATGAGTCCTGTCACTACTATCTTCTAGCCATTTCCAGAATCTACGTACATCTCCCCATTCTCAGTCATCGCTTCTACCCCCTCCATCATCTCTCACCTGATTAGCCTCCTGAAAGGTGTCACATCCTCTTTTGCTTCCTTTGAAACACTGTGGCCATTGTGACCTTTCCAAAGTGTCAATCTGATTATCCATTCCCTCTGCTTAAAATTCCTCAAATCTCAACATTTCCTATGTATCTCGTCACTGCAGAACAATAAAACTGATTCCTTAATTCATTAATATACAATCTTTCCCATAAAAGACAATAAATATTTTACTGACAACTAAGACTTTAAAATCAGTTACCATGAGCTTCAGGTCAGTGAAAAAAATAATAAAATAAAATCAGTTACCAGCTCTCTGATATTAGGCAACATAAGGCAAACAGAATAAACAAACTAGAAATCAAACCAGTAATCTATAATATTAACAAAAATGTTCTAATATAATTCTTTTGGAAAGGAGCAGTATGGAGTTTGAACTCGGATCTTCTGCTTGCTAAGCATGCACTCTACCACTGAGCCATAGCTCCAGTGTGTTCTAAATTCTTGCTTTTTTAAGCTCTCCTCAACACTACATGTACCTCACTCCCAAGAATACTTAAGCTAAACTGCTCCTATCTCTGCTCCCTTTCTCATGAGAATCTTAACTTTCCAATGACTTTCAGGTTTCCAAAGTAGAAGAGAGCTCCAAAACATAGTATCATCACAAAGAATGTATTAAAAGATTGACCAAATTCTCACCACAGAAAAATGTTTTTTAAAAAAAGTTACTAGCCAGGCACCAGTAGCTCACACCTATAACCCTAGCTATTTGGAAAGCTGAGATCTGGAAGATCCACATTCAAGACTAGCCAGTGTAAACAGTTCAAGACCCCCATC